CAATTAATGTTTTTTATGGTCTTTATGGTTTAATTTTCTCTTTCTTTATTTTTTATAATACATTTATTTATTCATTTTGATTATGACCATCCAAATTAAATTTTATTATTTTAATTAATTATATAATTTTATTTGATTTTAAAAATAGTCTTTTAGTTGATTTATAATAGTTTAATATAGTTTGTATTAGTTGTGTATTTTCATTATTATCTACATTATTATTGTTTTTGTTTTAACTTTATAATTATGTTTAATTTGGTGATCATTTATATATATTCGTTAGATGAATCATTAGGATTTTATGATTAAATTATTTATTTATTATTTATCGGAAATGTAAATTAATTAGTTGTAAGATTTTTTAAAGGAGATGTAAATAATTAGTTGTAGTTTTCTTTTTTTTATTTGGGGATGTAATTTTTCTCATCCCTCCTTTCTTTTTATGTCCAACTATTGATTATGGATGTTTAATTTATTTTTATGTTTATGATTATGCCATGTCAATATGAAAAACAATTTTTTGATTTTCAAAATTAAAATATTTTCAAAAGGATTGTTTATAGTAATCACTTAAAAATTAAAATCAAATCTTACTTCGATAAACAAATAAAGTAGGCCGACGCCATAACCAGGTGGCTTGGGTGTTTGATACCTTTCCAAGTCCACACCTAACTTTTATCCAAACTCTGGTTAAATGGTTGGACTCTCTGCAAGAAATCAAATCATTGCGTGGCAATTGTCCTAGGTTCATCTAGATGGCGACTGCTATTCTCTGAGTGGGTCTTGATTCATTCCATTTTTCCTTGGATCTTTAGGCCTTAGACACAGTGCAGAGTCGTTTTTTAGGCGAGAGCCCACAAGTAGTTTAGCAAATATTGTATCTGGCTGCACTTTTCAAAGTGCTATTTGAAATCTTTCACTAACTATTAATTTTTACAAATACAATGAACCTTTTTAGACTCAAGATTAAAATGCAATTTTAATTCCAAGTAAAAATCACAACCCATAACCACAATATTCTCTCATAAAAGGATTATAACTTATATCCTCTTGTTAAGCCTCGGGTTCTACCCAACCCAATCCTCACTTTCAAGAAATGAATTTTACTCAAGAGTATACAACAACTCCCTCAAATGCTTAATTCCAATAAGAAAATTCTTAGAGCTAACATATGATATACATGCACACCAAGGCATTATTTAGTGATAGGTGCACATACGACCTGAAAATAGATTCAGGTTCAAATTTCTCTCTCTAATACTCTAAAAAAAAAATTATGTATATACATAGATATAGTCCATTTTTGTGGTGCACTCAAAAAAAAACATTTAATCAACAATATACATTTATAACTAGCCCAATTAGAACCAAAAGCCATAACAAAACTACTTACATATATATAGTAATACATTCAAAGAAATCTCATTTCTATAAGCTAACAAAATCTAAAAAAAGTTTGATTAGAACTTTAGATTCCCAATTTTATTTAGTGAATTTCAAAGGAAGATGAAAAAAAAAAAAAAAAATTTTTCAATGGACGATGAAAAAAAAAAAAAAAAGACCATTACAACGAGATGAAAAGACAGTTTACAGACCAATAAATCAATGAATGCAAAAATTATTAAAATAATCCGAATAATTGAACTACCAATAAAAAAAAAAACAATCCTTATTCATAAGAGAAGAGAAAAAAACAAAAAAAAAAGAAACAAATGGACGAGGAATACAAGTAGTCGCGAGAGGGAGGAAAAATATTTACTAAAAAAAAAAAAAAAAAAAGAAACAAATGGACGAGAAATACAAGAGTGGAGAGGGAGGAAGAAAATATTACTTTTCCCACTTTCAATAATGTAATGAGCAATTGAAGTGTATCTTAGTCTTATTCATTGCGTAATTGTTAAGATAAAAAATTTAATTATTTTAATGAGATTATGATATAAGATTAAACAATATATTTATCAAAAGTTGAAAGACTAAATAGTTAATTAAGTCAAAATTTTGAAATTAAATAATAATTCAACGTTTGAAAAATCAAATGAAATGTGTATTGAAATAATAAGTCAAACCTTGATATCATTGAATAATTTAGTGAATTACACTATTCTAAAACCTTCAAATGTAGATATTTCATCCATTTATTCAAAAGTTAAATGTGTCACCGTGTAATATTTAAGTGCTTAATCATTCACATTTAATTATTTAAATCTCTTACTTTTATTATTGAATTACTATTTAGTGCCTCACTCTATGGTGAAAATGAAAAATTATTTATAAAAACCCAAGGGTGCATTTACTTACAATAAATAATTTTTTATTTTTTATTTCCTATTTTCTAAGAAAACAATTTTCTTAAAAAATAAAAAATATGTTCACTAAATAATAATAATAATCATATTTCATTTAAAAACTTAAAAAATATTATTAATAATTAAAAGAAATAAATAGTATAAAAGAAATTTAAAATTTTTTATTTTAATTTTTAAATATTTATTATTGATTTATTTATAATAATCATATCAATTTTATCATTTTATAATTTTTTTTAAAGGTAAATGATATAATTATACATATATTTTTTATGTTTAAATATCTTTTTTATTTTTCAATAAAAATACTTTTTTAAAAAAAAATTATAGTTATTATAATTATAAAAAGTTATTTTTTTTAAATCAAAAATTGAAAAACATGACTTTTATTATAAATAAAAATTGTGGAAACAACTTAAAATTTATAATAATTTTTTAATATAGAGTTATTTTGCAAATCTTACTTAAATTTTATACAAATTTGAAACTATTTTTCAGTTCTTTAAATTGAACCTAATAGATTTGAATACGAAACTTTATTTTTTAATTTTTTGACAAAATTTTTAGAAAAAAAAACTTTAGTAGTTTCCTGTAAATAAATTAGTCCTTCAATAGTTTAATGAACTTAAGTTTTAAGACCAAATGCATAAATATATCGTTATAATTTGCAGAAAAAATTGTGGCGCTCCAAATTTTGCAAGTGATCTATTATGCTCCTAAAATTACAAATTTTATTAATATTGTATTCTTTGCTGCGCTAATAATATTATATCCCTTGATATTTATTTAATGTATAGTTAATATAATATTTGAAACAATAATTTTTACATTTTTCAATTATCTAATAAGTATTTAATTTTAAAAATTTATATTCAATAAAATAATTTTTATAAATTAAAATATTTAATTGATATAATTTTAAAAAATAAAATGTTCAATAAAATAAACTAAAGGTTAAGGGGGCCACCAAATTTTTTATTTACGCAATGGACCTAAGTATTAATGACTAATTAATGTATTCGCCAAACAAAATGGGATAGAGTCGTAATGATAAGAGCCTATCGTACTTGCGCTAGGATTAACCGATATCCTATCCATCTGCAACATAGAAAATCTGTTACTCTCAACGGCAAATATTCAAACAATCAACTATGCAGCACCACACTGAATCCCATCTCCCATAGCCACTATTCCTCACCAATAAAAACAACCAAACTCCAAATCTATCACCATCCACTCACTCGTGTCGGAAAGCGGAATCGAACGGGAGAGATCAACCCACCTTTCGCAATTCCATTGGCTGAACGTCACATCAAACTTTCAACTCTCTTCTATTGGTCCACGTTGCGTGATCAGCGTGGCTAAGGTTAAAATAATAGAAATAAAAAAATATAAAAAAGCTCAAAAGCTGAGGTCCTTAAATGGCGACTCGTGTCGAGGCGGCAATAGACACTTGTCGCCTCCACCAACGAAGCCCAGAGAAACGACACTCCTTGTAGTCGCTCCCAAATTTCCACGCCGCATTTTTTTTTAAAAAAAATATTTTCTTTTTTTTTTTTTTTAAGAAAAGAGAAAAAATATTAAAGGTAAGTAAAAATATTCATTTCCTTCTCTCTGCTTGTGGTTTTGTACTGTCTAAGTGTACTGTTTTATTTTCTTTTCTTTTAATATCAATAAATAATAATAATAATAATAATAATAATAGTATTTTTTTTTTCCTATTATTTTCCTGTTTTTGTACTGGTTTCCCCAGAATTCTATGTTTTTTTTATTTTTCCTAAATTTTTCTGCTACTGATATAGTAATGATAGATTTCTTTTGTTATTGGAAAAAGTATTGTACTTGAACTTGAATGGCGGATTTTTTTTTATTTTTTAAATATATTTTTTTTGTGTGGTTTAGCCGGTAATAGAAGTTAAAACCCAGTTGCAGAAATGGATTTTGAGGTTTGATCCTTGTGATTTTTGTTTGGTTTTTCAGTTGTTTTTATGATTTGGAAGATGGGTTCCTTTCGGATTTTTATTTTTGAGAGGACATCTTTGATAATTTTTTCTTGTTCATTTATTAATTTTAATTTTTTTATAAAAAAAATTAGTTCATCTTTTTGGATCTGGAATTGTGAGGATCACAATACCTGAGATTTAACTTGATCTGAATCGATTCAATGGCTCTTATGTGGCCTGTTTGCTTGATTCTGGGAAAAATCATAGTACCTGAGATTGAACTTCCAGTTCTTGTACTTTGCACCATTCCAGACTCTTGGAAAAAGGATATTTTCTTTTTCATTTTTATATCTTTTCTTTAAATCTTTAGATATTTTGTTTTTAATTATCCGCTTCTTTAACTCTTCAAGTAGCTTTAGCTCTTTTTTTCCCCCTTTTCTATAACAAATTATTTTGAGTATTATTATTTGAAAGTCAAGTTATAGTTTTAATTCTTTCAAGCTAGAGTTTAGCTTGTTTTTAACAAATTCTTGGAAATTGATCTTACTGATTAAAAAGATCCTGAATTACTAATATGTAAACTTTATTTTTTTTTTTTTTTTTTAATTTGAACTTTGGTATTCTTGGTTTCAGAATTAACGCTTTAAAGCAATATCTCAATGCGTGTTTTTTTTTTTTTTTTTTTTTTTTTTTTTTTTTTTTTTTTTTTTTTTTTTTTTTTTTTTTTTTTTTTTTTTTTTTTTTTTTTTTTTTTTGTAAATGGGATACCATGTGAAACTTTAATCTTTATTATACTTGTTCAGAAGATATTGCTTGGCATGTGTTTCTTATATTCTTGGAAATGGTGTATCACTTCATGCTTTATTCCTTATATTTGTTTTGTAAAGCTGCATCAGCTAAGTCCACCATTCCAAGTCAATCTTCCAATAATGTAGCTTTATCATTTTTTGTTCATGGTTGTTATTCTTGGAATTTAGAACTTGATTTTTACATCTTAGGAATTTTATACTGAAAATGTAAAATTGCTAGTTTTCTTTTCAGTTACTCTACTTGATTTGATGAATTTTGTGATCTTAACCTGAAGGAAACAAGCTGGAAGGAGTGAGATTTCATATTGATTTACTTAAATTTGAAAAATTGTACAAGCCAGCTTGATAGGGTCAGCTGCTGCTGCTATTTCTAAGAATGGGTTCTCATTTGAACTTCAAGAACTATGGTAATGTCCCTGCTGGAGAAGTAAGTGGTGCAAAGGCATTGGGGAATTCTCCATTGGTTCGCCAGTCTTCAATATACTCATTGACCTTTGATGAGTTCCAAAACAGCTGGGGTGGAGGACTGGGTAAGGATCTAGGATCAATGAATATGGATGAGCTATTGAAAAACATATGGACTGCAGAAGAGACACAAGCAATGACAAATACTGTTGGTGTTGGGGAAGGAAGTTTTCCTGGTGGGAATTTGCAAAGACAAGGATCTTTGACTTTGCCAAGAACACTAAGTCAAAAGACTGTTGATGAGGTTTGGAGAGACTTGATTAAAGAAAGCAGTGATAGCGCAAAAGATAGCAGCGGCAACAACAACAACAACAACATGGGATCAAATTTGCCTCAAAGGCAACAGACTTTAGGAGAAATGACTTTGGAGGAGTTCTTGGCCAGAGCAGGAGTTGTAAGGGAGGATACTCAGCTAATTGGAAGGTCAAATAATGGTGGATTCTTTGATGAATTATCACGACTAAATAATAATAGCAATAACAATGCCAGTTTAGCTCTTGCGTTCCAGCAGGCAAATCACAATAGTGGGCTTATGGGCACTGGGATAGTTGAAAATAATAACTTAGTTGGTAGTCAGCCTTCTAATTTAGCTTTAAATGTAGGCGGGATCAGATCCTCTCAACCACTAGTTCAGCAGCAGCAGCAGCTGCATCAGAACCAGCCCCAGCAGCAGCAGCTGCATCAGAACCAGCCCCAGCAGCAGCAGCTGCATCAGAACCAGCCCCAGCAGCAGCAGCTGCATCAGAACCACAGCAGCAGCAGCTGCATCAGAACCAGCCCCAGCAGCAGCAGCTGCATCAGAACCAGCCCCAGCAGCAGCAGCTGCATCAGAACCAGCCCCAGCAGCAGCAGCTGCATCAGAACCAGTCCCAGCAGCAGCAGCAGCAGCAGCAGCCTCTCTTCCCCAAACCAACAAATTTAGCATTTGCGGATGTACGTTTAGCAAATGGTGCGCAGCTTGCTAGTCCAGGAATCAGGAGTTCAGTTGCTGGTATTGCAGATACAAATATAAAGAATAATTTAGTTCATGGTGGTGGAATGAGAATGGTTGGTTTAGGAACTGCAGGTGTTCCGGTTGCAACAGGATCTCCTGCAAACCACATATCACCAGATATGATCACAAAAGGTAACGCAGATACGCCTTCTTCACTATCACCAGTTCCAAACACATTTGGACGGGGAAGAAAAGCAAGTGCTGCTTTGGACAAAGTAATTGAGAGAAGGCACCGGAGAATGATTAAAAATAGAGAGTCAGCCGCAAGGTCACGGGCTCGCAAGCAGGTAAGTTTAGTGAATGAACTATTATTACACATTCGTTACTTTCTGAATGGTGTATCTCAACTCTTTTATCATCCCTTGCTTTTGGTATTTAGAAGACTAATTCTTGGGTGCTATCGTTTTCTTGGTTGCAATTTTAGGGGCTCTGTTTTTGGTTGCAATCAGAAATGTAATTGATATCTAGATGCTAGTACTTTGTACTTCCAAGCCTAGATTTCATTCATAAACCTCTTGATTTCCTTTTCAACTTCACTTTAAGATGCAAATGCATAAGTTGGAGGAGAGCTCTACTTGAGATAGTTATGTTATTCAATCTAGGCTAATATAGAATTATTACATCAACATGTCAAGCAATTCCAACAGTATGCAGTTTGATTTAGTATGACATTGTGTTGGTTCTCTTTTCATCCCGTATTGCAGCCAAGTTATTGTTCTACTTAACTGCACAAGTGAGGTGTTAGTCGTTAGTACGTCAAAGTCTTCTGAAGAAAGGTTGACATTTCATATTGGAAGAAACATTTGGAAATTATTGGGACGCAAATCAAACTGTAATTATGTTGTATTCTGCTTGTCAGTAATACTATATTTATCTGTCATTAAATGCCACAATTGTATGGTGCATTTCCAAAATTGCCTCCACAAGCTACTGCCTACTGTTGTAATATTGTTTTCCAAGGATCAGTAGTAATCTGAGATGAGATACCCTGATGGTAATCATGCTAGCATTGTTATTATGGAAGCAGTAACGCTTCTGCAATGAGTTGTAAATTTCAAGCGAGCAATTTTAATAGCCTAGTGAAGGATCTTTAGTGCAATCACAGTGCAGCATGGCATGCTGGAGATATAGCGGAGAACTTATGAAACTGTACTGTTTGACCCATTTTATTCACTTCTGGTGAATGGATAAATAGCCTTCAGTTGATGGTGTCAACAGAAATGCAAAAATTATTTATGAAGTTCTGCTAGTTGTCTTGCTATATGTTGCCTCGTTCGAAGATGCTTCTGATGCAATGCAATGTGCATGATCTATGTAAGATAAATGATAAATCACAGTAGTCCTATTTTTGCCTCTGTTGGGCCTGGAAAAAGTTTTCCATTGACTGGATTTCATTGGCTAGTAACTTATGGTCCTGTTGAGGCCAAAACTGATCAATAATTTTCAACCTCAAACTTGCTTGATACTTCAGTTCTAATTCATCCCTGGGGTCTATTACAGGCCTACACACTGGAACTAGAAGCAGAAGTTGCAAAACTTAAAGAAATGAATCAGGAATTGCAGAGAAAGCAGGTACGCTCTTTCGCTAAGAAGAAATCTTGTGTAAACAGGCTGTAATGGAAAACCTTTCTTGACCACCTTTTGGTTGTGGCTTTTTGCAGGAAGAAATTATGGAAATGCAGAAAAATCAGGTATGTGCCTCTTTAGTAGCACCATTGCCTTATATTTTATATGCAGAAACCATGCAGTTCTAGAATAATGAAACAGAGCTATCTAATTCTAATCCTTACCTTTGATGAGGGTCAGTGAAGTCATTTAGGTAGGTTGACCAAATGAGAATCCAGAAGGCAGTTTAGAAAATGAGTTGATAACGATCTTCAAATTGATCCCTCCACCTTTTTTGAAGTGCATTAATAGACTCACTTCTAAAATAAACAAACCATCAAATCAGATTCTAATAATAGTCTTTGAAATAGATTGTCTCAACTCTAATAAGACGTAATACAATGTAATGGTGATTACATAACAAAAAAATGAAATTACCATTACAGCTTACCAAACACAGCCTAAAATGATAAATTTTGACAGTAAAGGGGCTGATCACTTTTGTCTGTTTTACAGTTCTTAGAGTCGATGAATCGGCAATGGGGATCGAAAAGGCAATGCTTGCGGAGGACATTGACAGGCCCTTGGTAGAGTTGACATACTGATTAGTGATTATAGATAGTGACAGGGCTTGAATATGCATGTTGGCGATTTGTGTGGCGTCGTATGGATTGAAAGGTGCAACTTTGACCTGCATTTTATACCTTGCAGGATAGGTAGCTGTATCTATAGGAAATAGAGGCTTGATTTTGTAAATTATGACTTGAAATTAGTTTTATACTGTAGATTTTAACTTTCTTTTTATTGTGATGTGTATTGGCTTGTCATTTGTTCATAAAGCGTATGTAGGATAGTGAAACAAAATCTATGCTACAAGATTTACACTGTCAGCCTAATAACTTGGTTAGTTTCTAACAATTATTATGAACATATTTATTTTTAACTAATTGGTATAGCTGATAGGCTTTGTATATTATTTTGTGTGGTAACTATGATAAATCTAATACAAATATTTAGTGATCATTAGGACGGTTTAAGCTGCAATGAGAGTATTTATTTTGGAGATGTTGAATAAGAACTAATAATTTTTTTGCCAGAGTTCTATCCTTTTGCAATAATCATGCTATGCTTGCTCAGGCCTATATTTGTATAAAAGGTTCTTCTAAATAGAGATATTTTGATGATGAGTTGCTCAAATAGAGATAAGTTAAGTGCAAAGCTTAGATATCTTTAATTATACCAAGAAAGTTTGAATGTTATTACAAAGGGAAACTTAAGGATCAATTTTGCTAATACCACAAACTAACATGTGGATTAGAAAAAAAAAAAAAAAAAAAGGGCAAAAAAAAAAAAAAAAAAAAAGGGCTGCACTACAAACCTGCATAATGAAATATACTGAACATTCTGAATTCTGTACCAGTTGGCAATAAATTATGAGCCAAAGCCGGAAGCGAATTGCTGATTGCTATTTCTGTGTATCTGGACATGTTAGAATCAGTTCACAAACAAGAACCCTATCTCCTGATTAAAACTGGTGCAAATTGCACTAAACTTCGCAGAAACCCAAACACCATCTTCTTCAAATTCAGTATTAGGATTCGAACAAGACTCCAAAACTGGACATCACACTTTGACTCCCATGAATAACCCTTGACCAAATAGCTCTGGAAAGTTTGTATTCTCCATTAGCTGATTAGAGTCTGAGACTCTGGGATAAGTGGCTCTCCTTCATGGATCGGGGCATCTTCATTGACTTCCTCACTTCCACTCTTATTCAACACATCTAAGTCCTAGGATAGTCAAAAACAAGGCCCTCAGCTACACTCCTCGCCCTTGCATGGCCAAAAAGCTTGCTCACTATAGCCATTGCAAAATCTGTTACTGTAGCATGCCCCTTGCTAGTGATCACTTTACCATCAATAACTACTTTGGCGTCATTTATTACATTGTTACTTAGCTGATTCTCAACAGAAGGATGTGCAGTGGCTTTCTTATCCTACACAACAAGTGGAAACTTGATTACATGCAAGTTTATGCTAGGAAGATATAAGATTGTCTCCAAATTACCTTCAATAAACCCTGATTATGTAGAACTGCAGGGGAAGAGCAAACCGCTCCATATATTCTTCCAGCTGCGTCTTGTTCTTTGAGTAGCTTCTTAAGAACCTTTGATTTGTGTAATCGCTGAGCCCCAGCAATTTCTCCCTGAAAGTTCAGAAGAAAAAAAAAAAAAAAAAAAAAAAAAAAAAAACCTCAAGGATAACTGAGAAAGGGAAATGAAAGATAATGGACAAAATAGAAGCTTAAAGTATTTTATTTACTAAAAAGACAATTAAATTATTAAAAAAAAAAAAAAAAAAAAAAAAAAACCTCAAGGATACTGAGAGGGAAATGAAAGATAATGGACAAAATAGAGCTTAAAGTATTTTATTTACTAAAAGACAATTAAATTATTAAGGCTGAAAAAATTAAAACAGAATTTGAACCCTTTCACTTTACATTTAAGTCTTTAACTGGCCTATATAATTGCCTTTATACCTCTCTTATATAAGCAATTAAGCCTTTTATTTTTATTTTGTTCAATTGATTAAAATTGTTGAAAAATTTCATATAACAATTCTGTCCTCAGTCTCATCTCATCCTAAATCATGCAAGGACTGAAAATCAGGACTCAATAAAATTTCATATACATGTAGCCAAACCAATGTATGGAAGCCCTCCTTACATATAGAAATTTCGCTAAAGTTTTATATACTGGACCAAAGGCACATATGAATGTCAAATTGGGAATTCAAATGTTTTTACATTCCTATACTTCTATAAGAAAATACTGCAAAGATAATTAATTGTATAGAGATATTTGGTTTCGCACCGGAAGAAGTATTAAATCATATATGGACTCAGCAGCGTCACCAATTAACTTGTCAGCAATTATTTTTGTGCCTTGAGATGCCAAAATTTGCACTGACTTTTCAATTGAAGCAACCACAACATCCACCTTTGCTCGCCGTAAAATATCCACAATAGTTACTATTTCAATCTCTTCAGAACCATTTGCAACAGCCACGAGAACCTATGTGACGTTGGAACAATGATATAAAAACTAGAGTTCATAGACAGTCAACAACAATGATATAGAGCCTAGAGTTCATAGACAGTCAATTAATGCAAACAATACCTATACCTGCCAAAACTAGACACACTTAAGTAATATGAACAAGTAATAGAATAGTGGAGGTTGCAACAGGCACTCATTTAGAAACCTATATAACAAAAATGATTAAACCGAACAAGGCTCAAACATATTAGAGAGTTCACCACTCTCTATATATAAGGAACATGTTGTGCCAATTCAATAGACCAACAACCAGGAGTCCTTTAGCAAATGAAATTATCAAATTTAATCTGGTTATAAACAGAAAATGGTGTGAGAACTTACACGGGGTTTGTGGTCAACCGACCAATCAACTTCATTAAACTCATCCTTTCTACGCATATCATCAGCAGTATGCATCAGCTAACAAGTAGAAGAGTATCAGCTCAAAGCTTATGGTAGAAACTAAATAAGTAGGAAAAAGACAAGGTGAGTTGACATATGACTAGTAAATAAACAAAAACCGTAGTGTACAAGTTCCTTATCTCCCACGGCCATGATTGGCTTTAAATATTACAAGTTTTAGAAAGAATCTAGATAATGACAGGAATCTAGGATACCATAATGATGTGCATTATCACATCTGATTGAACAAACAATGTACAAAGATGCCAAGCATTTGAAGAACCATCTCAAACATAGATGGTGTTTGATAAAACCTGGCAACACTTAAAATTACAGCAATTAATATTTTTAAATTTGTTTGATTACATTATCTACATATCGGTTAAAAGTATAAAATAAGTATTTTTAATTTAAATTTACACTGAATACAATACGTTATTATGCTTTTTAACTATAATACAGTTGAATACATATTTATTCAATGCTTAAAATTTAATTATTAAATTTTACATTTGATTTCCAGTTTTGCCAAATACCATCATAATATATAATTACAGCTTGTTGCATATAAGTTATAACCCTTAATTAAGACAAGTGTATAATTTCAGCAATAACTCAGATAATATAAAGAAGGTGGCTTTGGTGTAACGATAAAATTATTCCACTTGTGACCTCAAGGTCTAAGGGTCCGAGCCATGAAAACAACCTCTCTATAAAGGTAGGAGAAGGCTACGTACATCAACCATCCCAGAATCCACACATAGAAAGTGCTACGTACACTAGGTTGCCTTTTTTTTTTTTTAATTCGGACAATATAGATAGGTTGGGTTTTAAGGTATTGAGTCCTTAATGGGCAATAGAATAGAAGCCATGAGGTCGTTGTTAAGGTGATCAAGTTCATGTCTTCAATCCAATCTCACAATGTTCCAAAGTTATGAGCACAGCTTGTCGTTCAAGTCAGTGAAATCATTTCACCACCATGCTCATGCTTTTATTGCGACAATATAAGGTAACTTCCACTCCTTTTCAAGAAATATTATAGCTCGTGAATGGAAGTGTAGCTACCATATCATGTATTAAGTCTAGAATGACAAGGATCATTAGTTGCTTAAACCAGCTTCTAGTCACAAGCATTTGAGCTTGCAACACATCATAGACAGCTTAAACACAGTGACCGCAGGTGGACTTCAATTTCAAATCTTAAAGAAGTTCCACCAAAATCTACTCAAATATTGAAGCTAAATTGGCAAGGGGTATGCTTGACAAATAAAACCAAGTTAACAAAATAAAAATTGACCTTACCATTAATTCTCCAACCTCATTGGCAACAGACTCCCCAAATAGCTGCTCAGCTAAAGATAGAGCAAACTCAAAAGAAGTTCCAGGACCACGACTTGTAGTAAGCTGTCCGGAAACTTGAATATTTGATTTAACAGCCCAGAAGGTTGGAAGTTTGTCCATGAATGCAGGATGACATGTCGTCTTTTACATCACATGCTACAGTAAAATTAGTCAACAAAACTAGAGTCACATGTATTCACTAAAGTTCAATTAAAAGCAATTCAAGAAGCCACCTGTCTTCTTCTTAGAAGACCCCATGGAAGGAGTGTGACAGCCGGAGCAGCACAAATAGCTCCATATAACCTCTTTTCCTCCGCTTGTCTACTTGTGATTTGCCTTAGAACCTCGCAATCTCTTAATCTTGCTGAACCAGGCATTCCTCCCTGCCTTTGTTAAAATGGTAAGTCCAACAAACAAAAGAAACTATTACTGACTTCTCTGTAACACTTATTAACACTACCTTAAAATAAAATTCTCACACTGAGAAAATATTAGGTAAGAGTAGAACCATCCTGGTCTTAAATCACAGTCATTGGACATGGTATAGACATGTTAGTGAATTGTAGATGTGTTAATGTACTGTAGCCAATTGTAATGATCAATTGGCACAAATTTGAATTTGTTTAGAAAAATTTCAATAACAATGGCCAAACAGTGCTAATTTTAATTTGTTTAGAAAAAAAAAATTCAATATCAACTGTGCAAGTGTATCACAGTGACTGACCATTGTGATAGTGTTCATATGCTGCTATGTAGCGGCAGATATTTAAAACAACTAGGAGAGGGACAGAAACTCCTCTCTCCCTCACACAAACAAGTAGATATTTCAACTTCTCATTACTTTCTCAATGCTTTTTAATTGCTACAGCCAATTGCTACAAATTATTACTAAATTAAACTTCAAAATGCTAAAATACAAGTGAAAGTCTGAAAGTTAAAAGCCACTAACCGGCAAAGCCACAAGATCGAAAACTTCGTTAGAACAATTGGAGATATTGGTATCAGCCACCAGTCTAATGCCACCAGCAGCTTCAATCTCAAGCTGTGGCTCCACAGATGCAACAATCACCTCTGCACCAGCTCGTCGTAGAACATCAGCCAAAATAACTGCCTCCATTTCTTCTGTGCCAAACCCAATTGGAAGCAATACCTGCCAATCCACAAAAACCACAAAATCAAGAATCATCAAAATTTTTTTGAAAAAACATGCTCAAAATTTCAAATTACAGCAGTTTAAAGAATGTGTTTATAGGTTTTAAGGAAAAAGAGACCTTCACCTTCTTGGGCGGGAAAAAAGCTGAGGTATCTGTATCTAGATTAGTAGTCGTGGGTATTGTAGGAGACGGAGTTTTAGTTGGTTTTGAAGACATCGGTCTTGAAGTGAGTGTTTTTCGCTTTGGAGGAGAGGCCATGGACGAGAATGACAAAGACGAGAGTGAAGTTGCTGACACAATCATTAAAGAAGTGGGCTTGATAAAAGAAAGCTTTGAGGGTGGCGGCGAAAGAAGATAGCACATAGACTCCATTGATGAATCAGAGCAGAAGCTTTTCCTAATGGAGCTTCGCTCAAATAAAATGGTAGACTCTACCCCATGTAGGCGCGCGTACATATAAGTAACGTCATCAATCTTATCCAAACACTGGCAGTAATTCAGCCCATCGCAACAGGGTTAATAAATTGTTTGAATAATTACTGATATTGATTAATGATTACTGTCTCTCTTTCGTGAATTTAAAAAAATTATTAAATTTATTTAAATTATAATAAATTATTGAATAAATAATTTATATTATTTTTAATTTAATACTAATTTAAAAAAAACATTAAAGAAAAATAATCTCCTACCTTCGCAAGAATCGAAGAATTTCTTGGCAATCGAAGTTCTATGGTTGAGTGATTAATGAGAAATTCATAGAAAGTTACAATCCTTACCATGAAATAGTGCATAGATACATCTTCATCCACGTTGTTTTTCGACTGGAAGATTTTGAAATAATAATTATGGTAAATATTTAAAAAATATTTATTACTCCTTTAAACCACAAATGTGACAAGTATTTTGAAACAAGTTATTTTTCCAAATGTGACAAATATTATGGAATGAAAGTAGTATATTATTAGTTTGAAAAACTTTTAGTTATTTATTGTCGCAATCTAATTGAAAGTGCTTTTGGCACCTACCGATGTCGCTCGGTTGGCAATACAAGCTGAATATATGGTAACAGTTTTTGGGTTCGATTCCCATTAAATACACTTGCATGGAGGGGCTAAGAGCTTTAACTGTGACTAAGCTCCGAACCGGATTATGGACTATCCCTACTAAACATACCTGCAGGGAGGGTCGAAGAACCTTAACTGTGTGGCTAAACTCTGAGCCGGATTAGGTAGTCTATGTTGAACCCATTTTGTGATTTTTCAGATTTGAGCTTTATATTTTGACTTGGGTTTGTATTTTTAATTAATTAGTACCCAATTGATATTATTTCATATAATTAATTAATTAATTAATTATAGGGACAATCCCACTAAACATGGAGGGATCAAGAGCATTAACTGTGACTAAATTCCGAGTCGAATTAGATGGTCCATATTCAACCCATTTTGTGATTGTTCAAATTTAGGCTTTATATTTTGGGCTTATGTTTGAATTTTTAATTAATTAGTACCCAATTAATCTTATTTTATATAATTAATTAATTAATTAAAAAAGAATGGGATAATAGAAGACAGGAGCGACAGTTAGGAAAAAGGAGACCAGTGTACAAAAAGTGGAAAGCCAAAGAGGCGACGTGGATAGCATGCATAAGGTGATCCTTTAGTAACTGTCTATGGAGCCGAGCCTATATAAAAATAGCAAGGGAACAATAAAGAGAAGCCCAACTAAATCCCTAATCAAATTCTCCCATGAATTCAACCAAGCTTTCCAACAAGTCAATCAGTTTAATTTCAAAAACATTGTATTTATTTTTCCTAAGTAAATCCATAATTTGTGTCTGGGTATATATATTTTTAGATAATTATTAATATTAAATTTTATTATTATTTTGAAAAAGAATTCAAATATAATAATTATCTCTATATCTATTAATTAATTAAAAATAAATGGATTTATAAAAAATTAGTCTATTTACTTAAATATTAAGTCTTATTTTCCTATTCAACATAGAATTCGAACTTAACTGGTACTAATTAATTAAACTTGCTAAATAATACTCCATGTCATTTACTCATTCTAAACTGACATTTTTATTCATTTTGCTTACTGATCCTTTAAGTGCAAATCGTAAGGATACTCAGTGTGATGTTAACACAGGGATGATCTAAATTAGAAACAAATGGAAAATGTATACTAATTCTTCATGAAAACCTCCTTTCTTTAGTTCCATTAAAGCACCTATTAACCAATAAAAAAAATCTTAATAATCCATATCCTGCACTCAACCTCTTTTGCCTTTGTCCTGTTCATAGCAATTCATAGAGCAGCATCAACCAGCACTCACTGCCACTGGTACAGGCAAGAAAACTCTTTTTTTCGTCGTCCAGGACAACAATGGTGGTGGTTAATATTCTTGACAAACCTCACTTCCTAGTTAACTCGAATCACATAAAAGGAACCCTAAGGCTCTTCCAAAAGGTACTAAGATTATCAACATTAAAAATCGCTTTAACAGTTGCACATTGAATAATCAAATACTTCAAATCTTTCCAAAAAGTTCTGAGTCTCAACTATTAAAACAAAAAAGTTACATCAATAAAACAAAAGGCAATCATCTCAACTGTTCTTCTCGTGTAATGAATGAAATCTGGTACAAAGAGTAGCAGAAAATTGGTAAGCTTAAATAGAAATAATTAAATAAATTAAATAATTTGAGGAAGAGTGAGATACTTACTAATATGGCTGCTCAAAGTTGAGATAAACTATTTTGTAATTCGAATTACAGTTTCCCTTTCCGATCGATGATTTCTTTCTCATTTTTCACCATTTTTGAAATTCAATTCAATTCCATTACAATACTTCTATTGAGTTAGTTGCAGCTCCATACATATATAAAGGAAGATTACCCGGAGAAAAAGTCAAGAAAATTCAAAACATGAAAGGAGAGGGTTTTCTCTTTGGAATCCATGGAAAAAGTTCCAAGAGACGTGAGGAAAGAGCTACAATATTTATATAGATATAAGAGATAAAATATTAAATTATAGGAAATTATTATGACAATTTTAAATAAAAAAGTCTAAAATTTAAAAGTTAAAGTTTTAATTGCATTAGATTAGATGATTAGATTAGATTACATTTTAAAAGTTATTTATTATCAGCATTATATAAATATTAAATAGAAAAATTAGTTAAGTATAAAAAAATAAGGAAAAAACTTTAAATTTATCGAAAAAAAACAATGTTGAACAAAAAGAGTCCTTCAAACTTTATTTTTGTTTCGGCTTTCATATATATATAATATTTTATTTAATGGAGAGATAAAAAAAAGAAAAAAAAATATATTTTTTATAATATTCATTTTTCTTTATGTTTGTATAATGTGATTGTATATATTTTTAAAAAATAAATTTTCAAATAGAATATACAAGTTTAATTTGATTGTCTTCAAATTTCTTCATTTTATTAGAGAGGAGATCTGCACTTTTTTCTGTATAACTAATTATCCAAATAATAAATGACGCTAAACAAAATCACCACAATGGTGATAACAATAACTCATAACTAGATCTAAGGACAAAATCTCAATATATGGGCAACAATAAATCTCAATATATGAGCGACAATACCTCAAATCTATGAATTGATCTGAAGATTATTTGAAAAAAATCAAACAAAAAAAGGAAAGGGGTGACCATCGGTGAGAGCTCACCGGTGGCTGCCCATGAAAGAAGAAAAGAGAGATTTTAGGCTTTTAGAGTCAATTTAATGGTTTTGCTTTTGCAATACTAATTCTATTGTGATTAACTCCCGACTAAATTGAGATGAAGAGATTTTTTACATTGTATTTCTATATTTTGTATGTTATCTTAATTAAATTCACTTATTTTTGAATTTATCCCTGCTTTCTATATTTTCTTAAACTCTGAAATTCACTTGTTTTTATAATATATCGTCTTTTTTATTTTTGAAGTACTATCAAGTGTATGCTTTCACTGTTGTTATGGTTATATCCGATATTAATCTCTTACGGGTTAGAATACGGACCCATGACTCACTAGGATGGGTGCAGTGCACTTCAACCTAGGCATGGCCACCGGTTCGGTTCTAACCGAAACCGAATCGGAATCGAACCGTACTGTAAACGAATCGAAACCGGATCGAAACTAGTGGTTTAAAATTTTGAACCGGAACCGGCGGTTTAAGGGCCGGTTAAGGTTCATGTGAATGTTAAAAAATAACCTGAACAGGCCCGGAACTAGCGGTTTCGATTCGGTTCAAACCGGATTCACAAATAAAATTATTTGTTACTTAAAATTTTTTATAAAAAAATTTATATCAGTTGATTTGATTTATGATGAAAAGAAGAACACAATCATACAAAACTAGTGGTTTAAAATTTTGAACCGGAACCGGCGGTTTAAGGGCGGTTAAAGGTTCATGTGAATGTTAAAAATAACCTGAACAGCCCGGAACTAGCGGTTTCGATTCGGTTTCAAACCGGATTCCACAAATAAAATTATTTGTTACTTAAAATTTTTTATAAAATTTATATCAGTTGATTTGATTTAAATGATCGAAAAGAAAGAACACCAATCATACATAAATTTAATAAAAAAAGTAGTGAAAAAAAAAAAAAAAAGCAATATCATTAAATCAATTTGACCTTAATTGGTAGAAAAAAAAAAGGTTCAACTAAGCCGTTTGAACCTTTTTTTTTTTTGACACATAATTTTTTTCTTTTTTACAAATGCTCTATTCAATGTATATAGTTATTTGTAAAAAAAAAAAAAAATAGTTTCATTTGTAAAAAAGAAATAAATTGTGTAAAAAAAAAGGTTAAAAACGGCTAGTTTGAGGTGACCATTTAATTTTTTTATTTTTGGTAATAAATTTTATTCATTTTTAAATCAATTTATTTATTTATTATAATTTACCTAAATTACCAAAAATATAGTTATTATTTTTCTTGTTATAAGGGGACAATTTGGGAAACTACATAAATGAAAAATATGTATAAATTGAATGAGTTGATTATTTTTTTCAACAACCAATTAAATATCTTACTCTCCTCTTCTTAAGTATGCCTTCTTATTTTTCCATACATCCAATTCTAAATTCCATTAATTTCATCTTCACATTTATTCTTTTTTTTTTCCATAATTTCATTTAATTTTTCATTTTTTTCATATTTTATCTATTTATTTAAAAGAAAAAGAAAATTTTAAAAAAATTTATTTGCAAATTTTAATGGTAAAATTGCCATTTGTCTGTGATATTTGGTGTGATCATTCTTATATGGGTGTTACTTCCCATTGGATTGATAATGAATGGAAAATTCAAAAAAAAATTATTGCACTTAGAGTTTTTGATGACTCTCACACCGTCCATAATATTTTTACCATTTTAAATATTATTTTAGAAGAATATGGTTTGACTAAAAAACAATTTTACAATTGGTTAAAAAAATTTTTACAATTGGTTTTGAGAATGCTAGTGCAAATACGATATCAATAAATGAATTAAAAAACTCTTTATCAACCCAAATTTGGTGGACAATTTTTTCACACTAGATGTGCATGTCATATTTTAAATTTATGTGTTCAAGACGCATTAACAACATTAATTGTATTTTTTACGTCCAATAAAAAATGATTTAAAATCATTTATGAACACATGGGTATGTTAGAAAAGAATTTAAAAATTTTTGTCACTCTATGGGAAAAAATATAAAAAATTTTCAAGAGATATTCCTACAAGATGGAATTCAACTTATAAAATAATGAGCCTTATGAATATAAAGATATTCTTTATTTATTTATGCAATTGCATGCATCACATTTTCAACTTTATCCAATCAATTGGACTATTTTGTAAAAAAATATTAGATATTTTGCAAGTTTTTAAAAATTGTATAAGAATTTTTAGTGGTGTTTATTATCGTATTCCCCATTTATTTCCATTTCATTGTTTGGCCATAAGTAGTGCCATAATTGAAAATGAAAATGATGATGATTTACAAGAATATATATTCATGATGAAAACTGAATGGTTAAAATATTATACTGAAATTCCGGAAATGGTTAAAATATTATACTGAAATTCCTAATTTAAATTTATTTACATTTTTTATTTGTCCTAGATTTAAGTTAGTTGCATTACAAAAATTTTTTCGTTTTTATTATGGATCTTTTAATATTGAAGTAGATTGTTTTTCTTTTACTAATAATGTTTTAAGGTATGTTCGTCAATTATATGATGAGTATTCTAAATTAGTATCTCCCATTCCTCAAGTATCACATTTACAAACTACATAATCCATTAAATTTTATTCACAAAATTTACTTTCATGCAAAATGTTTCAAAAAAACCAAGGGAAATTCCACATTCATACATAGAAATTGAGACATATATTAGCACAATTTTGAATTTTTAGGTGATGATGCGGATGAAGACCCAACAAAATTTGACATTTTGGATTGTAGAAAAGGCATGCAAATTGCTTTCCAGTCTTAGCTTCAATTGCAAAAGTTGTAAAAGATATTCTTGCTTATCCAATTTCTACTGTTGCAATGGAAAACAAGCTTTTAGTGCGGGTGGACAAATTTTAGATCCAGCACGGTCAAGATTAACGCCAAATAATGTGGAAATGCAAGAGTGTGTTGACGATTGAACTAGAGCGGCGTTGAGAACTGAAGACCAGCAAAATTCAAGCGACGATGATGAGTCCGACTCATTAACGGGGACTAATGGCACCGATGACTAAAATTAATTATAATAATTGGGAGGTAATTTTCCAATGTAATAAAAAAAAAGAACTATGTGGGCTTTGATTTTCTCTAATTTTCAAGAGGATATGTAGGCAATTAAATTAAAATTTTTCAATTTAATTATAATTTTCTATAGTAGTGAATCAGCAAAATTTGTAAATTTAATGTAATAATAAAATTTAATGTAATATAATTCTAAAATTAATAGAGTTTTTGTTTTAAAATTTTATAATAATTTATTTAGTTAATAAAAATTCTAAACATTTTTAAGAAATTATTTATTATCATGAAATTCGGAATCAAAATTTGATATTTTTTAAAAATTTGCGTAATGCCGGAACCGAAATCGGGACCGTGAATTTCAAACCGTCGGTTCGCCGACCGACGTTGAACCGTGCCGGAAACCGGACCGAACCGGAAGGTAACCGGAGGTTCAAGGGTCGGTTCCGATTCAAAATTTTAAACATCTCGAACCGGCAGTTCAATGAACCGAAACCAGCAGTTCATTGAACCGGCCATGCCTAGTTCAACCCCTACTAAATCAAACTATTTTGGATTAATATTAAATATTTTTAATAACTAGTAAATTTTCAATAATAAAAATATAAAAGTAATACAAAATATTAAGAGAAAAAAAATTAATCCTCCCTCCTCAGAACGGCATCGTTTTAACGCAGGGTTTTGAGACAAAACTCAATTAATCCAATCCAAAGCTTTCTTTCTTCCTCAATTCGGCGCCGCTCTCATTCCTGCCCTTTAACCAAAAATTGTATCCGACAACCCCCACTCGACAAGCGGCAATCTCCAACAGCAGCGATCTTGTCAACGACCGGTCAGCTCCACTAGCGGCAATCTCCTCTGTGGCTCGCGACGCTCGCAACTCGCAACTCGCAACTCGCAACAATAGGTAATGTCAATGTCAAGGATCAATGCCATTTTTTTTACTATAAATTTTAGGGTTTATTTATTATTTCGAAATTCTATAATTCCTTGCTATTCAATTAAAATCTTGTGGTGTCTCCCGTGCATTTTTTTGATGCAGCTGAGGAAGGTCCTGGACGTTGGAGTAATAAAGTTTGCTATAATGTCTAATTTCTTATTATTGAATCTTTGTTTCTTCTATGGTGGAGTTCATAATCAAAATTTCCCATTCGATTAACAGGCTTAAATGGGAAATATAAGCGATTTCTGTAATTTGTGTTTATGAAGTATTTACCATTTTCTTTATGTCTGCATTGGCAGGCATGGACAGGAGAAGTGTAAAATTTATGCTAAAAAATTGGGTCTTAGTTTCACAAGCGAGTTCTGTAATTTTAAAATTTTGTTTTATAGATTCGGATGGCTCTATAAATGCCTATAGAAAATTAAAATATTTGTTTTCTGGTTCTTAATTCCCAAAAAAATGGCAACATCTTGTTAGAGAACGCAAAAAATTTTCTCCTTCTTCCCTTTTTCGTTTTTTTCTTCCTTTTTACTTGATAAAAAGAGAATGTTCATATTTTCTTTATGGTAGTGAAGTTTCACACTACGAGAATTGAAAGAGTTATAGAAGTCATTTTCATTGGATATTGTTTCCTATTTTTGATTGTTGGAAGAGAATGCATTTGAATTCAAGACCACCATACGGAAAGTAGTGAATACACTAAGATGATAGCTTGTTCCCTGGTTGTCTCTGTGAGAAAAATTTCCTTTGTGCTTTAGCAGTGTAGGATTTATGGTTGTCTCTTTGAGAAGTATTTCCTTTATGCTTTAGCAGTGTAGGATTCATGGTTGTCTCTTTGAGAGTTTATGCAAACCCAAAAGTCACAAAAGTTTTGTCTGAGAAGGAACAAACTTTCATTTTTAGTTATGGTTCATTTCAGGAAAAATTCACATCTTTCTGTCATAGACTAATTGTTCCACACTTTATAAGTTTGAAAGCTTAAAAAAAAACTTTTTAGATTCATTCATTCAAAGAAAAAAAAAAAAAAAAAGAGTTAACTTTTAACTACAACATTTTTTCTTTTAATTTTTCTCATTATCATTGTAAATTTTATGATACCAATATTTTTGTTACCATTGTAATTATTTTTCAAAATTATATAATTGATACATTAGAAATACAAGATATTTATATCCAATAATATGTATACACACACACACACACACACACACACACACACACACAATTACACTACCCTTCAATAAATTCTTTTTTTTTTTCCCAAGAAATTGTTGAAGAAAAACTGACAAGAAAATTTGAGAAGAGTGAGCAGCAGTTTTCTTATCAATTGTTTATCTTGTTAGTTCTTTCGAAATTTCATTTCAATTTGCTCTTTTAGCTTATTGATTGTTCAATTCATGCTTTAAACTTAGCAGACTTTGCCCTGATTCTGTTTTATGTATTTTAATGAAAGATGTTATTTTGAATGAAAAAGCAATTTAATTTGCTTTGATGATATTTTCATTGAGTTTGGGTTTTTGGACATTTCTTTATTTGTATTCTATTAACTTTTTTCAACTTATCTGCATTATCTATATCGCATTGAAATTCTTCGTTTCTTCACATTTCTTCGGCCATCGATGTCTCTAAATAATTGTGTTTTCATTTTAGCAAGGTTATTGGTATCAATCACATTTGCTGGTTACATGCAATGGTACAATACTTTTACAATGTTATGGCCAATTTCAAATATAATATATAATCAATAGTTGACATTTGTTTGTTTACAGTCCTAATTATATTCATCAGTTGACTTTTGCTTTTATTTTTTTAAGAAAAAAAATGAAAAGATATTAAAATCAAAGGTATTTACTGATTGTATCTTTTTCTCTGCATTTGCTTTCTACAGTATGGATGCCTATTCTGTGTCAGTGGTTCATTAGCATTTCCTTTTATGCTTGATTTTCATTTGGATGCTGTTCTTCATGGGATGTTTAGGTGTTCTGCTTGTGGCTTTCTGATGTGTGATTTTAATTGCTGCTAATTTCTTGGATTTTACTTGTTTTGTAGTAATAATGACAGATGATTCCAATAATGTGAAGGACGAGGTGGCAGAAGTAAGCCCTTTACTGTTGGTTGTTGTTAGACTTTGATTATGCTTTGATTTGTAAAAGACCATATAAAGCTATAAGAAAGTTGAACTTATGTATGCTTTGAGGTGCTTGTTTATGCAATGAAACGAATAGATTACAAATGTTGAACTAAAATGCGATTCATGCATTTTATCATTTTTCATTATGGCATACACCAAACAAAGCCTAATTGTATTATCCCTGTACTACTTCAGTCTCATTGCATCTCCTTGTTGCAGCTTGCCCCCTTTGATCCTACCAAAAAGAAGAAGAAGAAGAAACCTGTTGCACAGGATAGTGCAGATGATTCCGTGGACAAGCTTACTGAGAAAACTGAATCACTATCGGGTACCTAAAATAAACAATCTGTACTTATTGGATGCTGTTTATTTCCTGAAAAACTTTGCATAAAAGTACATGAATTACATTTTTCCAGGCACTTATTATTATTTTTCTTTTATTGCAGTCTCTGAAGGGCTCGAGAGTACTTTCACTGGTTTGAAAAAGAAGAAGAAGAAGCCAGTAACTTTGTTTATTCTTAATATTGGATTATTGGCCTTAAGTATACTGTATGTGTATTTTTATCCTCAGCAGCAATGGACATGTTAACTTGACTTTATATTGCAGGTAGATGCCAGTATTTTGAATGAAGAAAGTGTGGATGGAGGAGAAGATTTGGATGGCAAGAAGTCACATGCTTAAAATTTACCGATTATGAATATGTGTCTTGCTTAATTCATTTGTTTTATTGAATCTAAGCGTCATGGTTTCTTCCTTGTTTAGATCATGTGGTACAAGATGAAGAAGGAGAAGGACTTGAGCAACAACAACAGCTTTATCCATGACAGCTTTATCCATGGGAAGGGAGTGACCGTGATTATGAATATGAGGAGGTATAATATCCATTTGAATGGAATTATTTTCCTTTTTGATTGATATAAAAATTTTGTATTAATTCTCTGCTATGGTATTGTCTGTTATAGGTATAATGTGCATCAAATTAGTTGATTGTAGTGTAGTATAGACATTGTAAGCATTATATGTGTGCATGTGCATGTATCAGACAAGAAATATTTAATAGACGTTGCAAAAATATGCTTCAAAATTTTAGTAATATACACATTAGCCATTTGCATAAGGTGAGCCTTGGTAAGGCAATAAGGTTGCTTCCTCTTTATGTGGAAATATCAGGTTCAAACGTTGAATAACTTGTTTCCTGTGCAAAGGGAGACTTTATATCTAACTCTTCATAATGCATGGGATATGGGAATCCTTGGGCAGTGGGACACATTAGCCATTTGATTAAGATTTGGGTTGGGATAGCAAACCAAGGGTGCTTCTTAGTGCTTTTGGACTCTGTAAATTGTTTGAGCTCATTTCTGCTCTTTGTTTCTTTTTTTTTTTTTTTGTTCCAGATATTATCGCATAGGATTTCCCTTTCTAAGTAGTTACTGTGATTCTCTCATCTTTGTTCATGTTTTATTTGAGCTCTCCTCTTCTTTGCCTGGTGGATTTTTTTGGGTCCTTGTTCTTATCTATAGTTCTTGTAGTTGCAGCTGACATATTCTTTTCTTTTCAAATGTGACATGGGCAGCTTCTTGGTAGGGTCTTCAACATTTTGCGTGAGAACAATCCTGAACTTGCTGGAGATAGACGTAGAACTGTGATGAGGCCTCCACAAGTTCTTCGTGAGGGTACTAAGAAGACTGTTTTTGTGAATTTCATGGATCTCTGCAAGACGTATGTATATATAGCTCTCCTTTTGAGCCTTTTGGCATGTCTGGACCAAATGGCATGTTTTGATTCATGTGTTACTCAACATTGAAAATATATAATGTTTTTACTTATTCGTATGAAATTTTGTACTCCATATATTAGACAAGATGGCATTTACCAAGGGATGCCATTTTTCATCAGCTGCAATTATCTTTAGTCCTAGTCAACATCTTAATAACATCTAATTGCTGTTTCTCAAAGTCAGAATGTTTTGGTTGGTGCTGTTTAATTGTTTTGAAAATTAGATTCTTGCATCGAGATGTATACATTAATTGTTGTATTTTTCCATTCGTTGAGATTTAAACATTGATATCTTTCATTGGTGTGCAATTTCAGAATGCATCGGCAGCCAGACCATGTCATGACCTTCTTACTTGCTGAGTTGGGAACAAGTGGATCTCTTGATGGACAGCAAAGATTAGTTGTGAAGGGCAGATTTGCTCCCAAGAATTTTGAGGGGATCCTGCGTAGATATATTAGTAAGTACACTTTATATTTTTCAATGACTGGCATCAGAGCTGTGAACTAATGATTGTTTAGATGGGCAGCTTATATTCGTCACCTGAGCAATGTGATCTCTGATTTTCAGATGAATATGTCATTTGCCTTGGTTGCAAAAGTCCAGACACTATACTTTCGAAGGAGAATCGTCTATTTTTTCTCAGATGTGAAAAGGTAACAGTTCATACATTCTTATCTCTTTCTCATCTCTTTTCTTCTCCTGAGATACATCATGGCACTCTATTCGTAGTAGTCTTGCAGAATGCGATGTATTTGTTGTAGTCTTGCTGAAGTCTATACATGTTGAGTAGTCTATGAGAAGGCTTGGCAATTATACTATCATAACAACACATTTGTGTTTTTGCATTTTGTGTATTGCATCCACCATGGGTTAAAAGAATCTTGGTGATGAAATGATGATTTTGTTGTGTGGTATGCAATATGTATGATGTTATAAATATTCATTCTAATTATCCTAGATGATTTTTATATAATCATTTGCAAAATTTTGATGTGTCCTACATTGTAATATTGTCTAATTCATGACTGAGATATATACCTCTGAGGCCTTGTTAATATTGTTGTTTTTTTTTTTACTTTATGATATTGATTTGGGAAGTGTTATATTGGGATTTCAATTTTTCTGTTATTACTTTGAAAAGGTATCTAAAAATTGTCATTTGCCAAATCTTGTCTTTAGGTGGCCTAAGATGCTTTTAAGATTTGCCTACATTGTCAGATTGTTTAGCCTGATGTGTTGATAAGTTCTGACTTCTGAGGCTTTTGCTTGCTTGCTTCTTTTTCTTCTTCTTCTATGCATGGTAACCTGATGATATTGATTTGAAAATTTTCAATGTGGCCTGTGATGATTAATTATTTTGCCTAAATTGTCAGATTGTCTAATTCATGACTGAGACATATAAGTCTGAGGCCTTATTAATATTATTGTTATCTTTGTGCCTCGGATATTGATTTAGAAACTGCTATTTTCTGATTTGTCTTTTTCCCCTATTACGACTATGATATTGCATCTAAAATTTTCATTTGGCAACTTATCTTGAGGAGCCTAGTAATATCCTAAGATACATTGTCATATCATTTAGGCTTTAGCCCATGACTGATATGTTGAGTAGTTCTGAGGTCGCTTTGTAGCTAATTCTTATTCTTCTTATTTTGCATGGTTAACTTGCATGATTTGGAAAAGGTTAATTGCCCTATGATGATTAATTATTTGCCTAGATTGTCAGATTGTCTAATTCATGACCGAGACATATACATCTGACTCTGAGGCCTTAATACTTAATTAATATTGTCATTATTTGTTTCATATGATATTGATTTTGGGACGTGCTATTATTCTAATTGTTATTACCTTGATAATGCATCTATAATTGCCATTTGCTGAATTTTGTTTAGAGGAGACCTATTATAATCTTAATATTGCCTACATTGTGAGATTGTTTAGCCTGTTACTGTTATTGAGTAGCGTTCTGAGGCCTTCTTTTTCTCATTCTTCTGATGGTAACCTGGTGAAGGTTGGTTGCCTGTAGACACATGCCACTAATTTACTCTTGACACACTTTGCCCTGCATTTGTATCACAGCATTCACCTTGATGTGAAAAATATGACACTAACATTAGCTGGGGTAATTGCGAAATGCAAGGGCGGGAGTGTCCCCACTTGAGGAGGATTGTAAAGTTGCTGCCAGTAAATTAAGTAATTTTGTCTCCATTGCATAGTGTTGATGCCACAGTCCATTTACTGTTTTAAGCTATTTATTAAGTATACTTAATTTCAGCTAAAATATAAAATCTATTTTGGTTTTGTTACCATGTTAGTGAAATAGAGAAGAAATATAGTTAACCAATTGGCTTGATCTATTTATTTATTTTAAATGTAAATTTTTTCATGCATACAGCATACCACTAGATTGTTATCAATGTTTTTGAATATTATTAATGTTCCTATCATTACGTTTATTTGTTGAATCTATGTGCATTGTTCAACTTAATGTGTATGTGAATGTATATATGCTTTGTTTCCCCGTTGACCACATTTTCTGGATCCATTATTGCTTAGGCTAGAGGTTTCATTGTGTATATATTGTTTTTCTAAATGGATTTCTGCTCTCCTGGTTCTTGTTGTATATCCATTCATTGTGGAGCAGAAGAATGTAAGCGAACAAAAGAAAACGGACATTTTTCTTTTAATTGCTTCTCTTTTGATCCATTCGTTGTAATTTCTTATAGTTTTCATTTTGCTGTAACCCTCTTTTCTGATCTTGTTATGCTTGTGCAGTGTGGTTCTGGACGATCAGTTGCCCCCATCAAAGCTGGTTTTGTTGCTCGTGTTGGCCGCAGAAATGCAGGGACTTGAGTCTTCTAAAGCTAAGTTTGTTGCATATGTTACCAGTAGAAATATACTGGGACATGAACCTTTCAAAGGTGAGCTGTGCAGATGAGAAGTTTTGGACCTTGTTTTACCGTACCTACTCTTTACTCTTTACTGTTCACTTTGATGTTTACCAAAGTTAAACAATACTTTGTCTCGAGTTACAATTCTACTGGCATTTAATGTCTTGAAGGAAACAGTATTGATTTTGGTTTATTGATCATTATCTCTACTGCAATAATATATGCAATTGGCTCAATGTTACTCCAGGTATTCTTGGTAGATATTTTTGTCCATGATATGCTTTCTACATCTGTTGGATTCGTTAATATTTATAGGTCATTTTCAGTGTCAAATTGTGTATGAAATATCCAATCAGTGAGTCTTTTGTATGAAAATTTTAAATGTAGACAGCTAAATTTTATATGAAAATTTTTATATGTTTAGTAATATAATGTTAGGATTGATATGTGGTAGCTGTAACTGGATTCCTCTTATATTTCTCTTTTTGATGTCTTTCTATTTCTATCTCTTTCTTCCCTTTCCCTCTCTTTTCCCTATTTTCTATCTACCCAAACACTCTTGAGTTAGGCAGGTTTCTAACAAGTGTTATTAGAGCAATTAATCCTATCGACTAAAGCTTCTCAATCCAATTTCTCTTCTCTCCGTCTCTCTTTTTTCTTCCAAATCTGGTTGTCTGTCCTCTAATTCTTCTGTTCTCTTCATCTCTTTTTTCTTTAATTCGTTATAAGGTCTCTTTTCAAAAAATAAATATAAAAACGAAACCATCCATCGATGTTTGATACCGAAAGCAAAAACGATGATGGAATCAAATCTTTTTTAGGAATCCGATATCAGTAGAAGTACGGTTGGTAGTGTTATCCGTGAATTAGAGGAAGATTTTGGTGTTGATTTGTTTAACCGGTCAACCTTTATTAGGGAGCAGATAACCAATTATTTTGAAACCCTAGAAGACAGAGGATGAGGAAGAAGATGATTCTCCTATTGATTCCGACTTTAATAATGATGAAGAGGTTAATGAAGGTCCATGGCAAAGGAGGTACAATACTCTACGAAAGGTTTCAATTTAACCCAAATTGCAATGGAATTGGGGAAATTGATGATTACGTAAATCGTGACCTTAACTTTAACCATAGACATTTTCTTCTACTCATTTGATGACTGAAAAATGCAGAGCTTATGTGTCCATCAGAATTAAAATAGTTGAGATCCAACAAAAATTGCACTTGTTCTAGCTGGTCTCAAATTTAATTTCTCTTCACGTTTGTCAGAATTGGATTTTTATCATCTCTGGTGCCTGGTTTTCGAATCCCAAACTTTTAGCCTCAGTTAGTTCTTTAGCTGGTCTCAAATTTAATTGCACTTGTTTTTTATTGATCGGAAAGTCTAATTAGCCGAAATAATATAATGAGCTATTAAACAAAATATCATCTTTTTGACTTGTCAAATTAGTAAAAAATTTTGTGGTTTAGTATGCACCAACTATGTAATGCTAAGAGCATCTCCGATGCAACTATGAATTGTGGCTGATGTGTTTTAATAAATAGAAGTTATAGATGGTGATGTAGCTGAATGTGTATTTATAGATGTTACATGTTAAAAATGGTTTTTCAATATACGAAGAAGAAACTAGTTTCAGCGTTACAAGAAGTTTGAGTGCAAATAAAGAAAGGTATAAAGGAAAATAAAAAATTAAGAAAAAAATGAATAAATAGAAAAAAAGAATAAAAAGCTGAGTTACGCCGTTTAACAGACTCTCTAAAAATAGAGAACCTAATAGACAATCACTTTTTCTTTTTGACACATCAGATTGAGAGGTTTTTAACTTCTAATTTTCAAACGTGGCAAATAAATTAACTCAATCAACAGTTGCATTGGAGATGCTCTAATATGGCAACAAATATAAGCCATTCAAATTAATGCCCTATTTTAAGGATATTTGTTGTAATTACTATAAAAATGGAAGCCCTCTAAAATTTGATGACCTTAGATTAGTCTTTAACCTTCTAAATTTAGTTTTTCCATATTTTAATAATAAATTTATTATTATAAAAAAGCAAAGAAAATGGATGCCCTGAAAAATTTTTGGTTAACTAGCTATTAGATATATCATATATAATTGTTTCTGCCATATATGAGAAATATAATATTTAAGGACTAGCTAATAATCTAATTATCAAAATTTCAAAATGTACAAAGTTAAAAAATCACAGAAAAAATATAGTTTAGCAACGTTTTTTTTTTCCCCTAAACTTAGAATACCCATTTCTAAAGTGGTTTAAGCAATGGAACTAATTTTTTCTTAACAAAATATCTAACTATATATTTTTTAATCATTGTAAAAAATAGAAACAAGCTTTTTTTTTTTTTTTTGTTAATATTATTCATTTGAACTAGTTATATATAACAGACTAATGGTTGTTTAAACAAATTTATTTCTATTAATAATAAATTTTCAATTTCATATCATTTTGGAAGGATTTTTTAGTTTAAACCACCCGGTATCTGGCACAGTTGACTAATTTGAATTCGGGTTCTGCAGAGGCCCATTCTTTTGAAAAGACTTTAATACAACTGATAACTCATATATTTGCTAAAACTTTTTATTAAGGATTTATATAGTTAATTAAAGTCTTAATCAATGATGTTTTTTCTATTTATATATATTTAGGCTATTAATCTAAAAATTTTTTTTAGTAAATTGTATTTTTCATATGAATATTTTATATCATGATTTTATTTATAATTACTAATAAATACATAACTATTAAATATTATTATAAAGAAATTTAATCAATTATTTATATGTTTAATCAATTATTTATTTATTTAGTATATTAAAATAATAAATAATAAATCAATTTTTTATTTATTGATTCGTAGATTTGTATTAATATTACAATTCTATTTAAAAAATTAAACTGAACTGTATATAAATATAATATTTTGACTATAATTATTAATTAGCTATTGTATTCACATTAATATCAATATAAAATTATATTTTAACATTATAAAATCTAAATAATATAAGAAGAAAATTATAACCAATACTTAATATTACACAAAACAATAGTAAATGAGTAATGATAACGTGCGGTGTATGTCATAAAAAATTAGTACATATAAAGGTGAAATTAGTGGAGAATATTGGAATTGGCAAAAATACCACTATTAAACCTATGGATTCACAAAATAATTTTTAAGGCTTTTAATTTCATTGGTTGAAAAAACAAAGATAGTTCAAATTTGATTGATTATATTGATTTTCAATTTTAATTTTAATTCTATTGACTAATAAATAAAATAAAATAATTATTTTACAAAAGATTATAATTATAATTATAAGGTTAGTAGATCGTAGCAAGAAAATTACTTTAATTAGAATTTATTAAACAAAATATTGTATACATACACAAGTTAATATTATATGTAATATCTTATTTGTGCAATTATATTAATATTAACATAAAGATTTAGACAAACGTAAAGAATTTTATATTAGATTTTGATATAATTTGTACTTATAATTTTCTTTTGTGAATCATCTTGATTTAATTAAATTTTCTAATATATTTATTTTATTTTTTATTAAATTGATCTCAAATTATTGTTTTATTTTTGTAATATATTAGACATAAAAGAAAATTAAATCACAAATATATACATAAAACCCAGTGCGTTATAAATAACTGAACACATAATATATTAATTTGAAAAAAAAAATTAATAGTAATTATTTCTAATAAATTAATGCAATCCAAATATAAATCAAATACATAATTACTTAGTAGCATGGCTTAAAGTTACTATAACAATATTAGTTTGCTGATTATCAATTGATGATTTCATGTCAGAATTTTTTTTTCCCTTTTATTTGGATAAAGATCCAAAAGAAAAGAGGATTAACTGGTTTTTGAAATTAGAATTTTGAACCTTATTTAAGTCAGTGATAAAAAAGATTCCCAGTCTGTAACACATGACCACCTATTTCACCATAGTTAGAACTCAATTTCTTTGATATATATACATATATTTGTAATGAAAGTGTTAAGCAATATCCATGGCAACAAAATCTTCTCACATCCATCTAATACTTCTAACTGCTCTCTGTATCTTTTTGGTTTCTTCCATGAAAAAGAACAATATCATAAACTATAACCTCTCCAACTTTTTATCGTCTCTTCATCTACCTTTTGCTTCGTTTAATCAAACCCAGCAATCTTTTCCTTCACCAAATCCAAGTCTACCTCTTAACAACGCTGTAATTACTGTAACCCTAATTTTCATTCATGCTTTTCAGTTTCAACAATGTCATACTTTAGTTTTTGGTTAGTAAATTAAGTGGGTGTAATATATTTTGTATGCAGAAGAATAAGAAGGGAAGTTTGGAGAATCTTGAAAATGGTTTGGCTAGAGCAAGAGCAGCAATTCGTCAAGCTGTTGAAAAGCGAAACTACTCGTCGTTTAGGGAGGAGAATTACATTCCAAGAGGAGTCGTTTACAGAAACTCTTACGCTTTTCATCAGTTAAGTGCTTTTCATCAGTTAAGTTTTGATATGTAAATGAAATTATAGTGTTTAATCTCTTTTTGATATTATTATTTATTCTACGTTTGGTCTTTCTTAGGATAATTACAACTTTGAGAAATCTCTTTCGAACTCCTTCTAAACTAAATTCCTGCTCTTTGTAATCTTGTTGAAGGATTAACTGTTTTAGAATTCTTTGTTTTTTTTAATGCTTCGAAGTTGAAATTTTCTTTTCTCAAAAGATACATTCTAAGAAGCCTAGAACAAAGCTGCAAAATATTTACAGATTTTGGAGTTTTTATTTTTACTATTATAATATGAGGTTTTGAATATTAAGTTTTCCCTTAATATGATGAAAATTAATAAAACATTTATTTGCTGATAAAAAAAGTTTGGTTTTCAAATTAATTAATAGGATTAAATTTTTAAAATTTGAATTAATTAGCTGTTATTATCTCGAATATTAGAATATCTTTTTGACAGAAAAATAATATTTTTGCAGTTTGACAATATTAAGAAATAATTAAATATAAAAATACTATTCTTTTATGGTAACCTATTTTTAATATACTAATAAATTATTATTTTTCATCACTCATTATATATATTTTATTAATAAACAGGTTTATCACTTTCTTTTATAAATTTTTTTCATCACTCAATGTATATATATTTTATTAATAAAACAGGTTATCACTTTCTTTTTATATATATATATATATATATATATATATATTATATATTATAATTATATATTATTATATATATATATATATATTTTGAGTATATATTTGAGTGGTTAACTATTTAATCTCTTCTAAAAAAAAAATTAATCCCTAAGTTTTGAGCTAAATTATTATTATATTTGTAGTATTTGGAAAATTCACTATTTTTTTAAAGTAAAACATTAAATTTCATTAACTTAAATCATCGAACAAAACTAACGGACAGTACCCCATTTCTTTAAACTAGACACAGATTAGGAATTTATTGCTAACAAGTGGACAACCTGACCGTCTAACAAAAACCACAGAACACAGCAAAAGTTCACTAAGGAGCTGGTTACAATCAGCTACAATGCCATTAGATATAAATCATAGTTTCTTTCCATATGTAGAGTTTCGTATCACCACCACCATCATCATCATGTCCTTTTTTTATGCAGGAGTCATATAGAGATGGAGAAGAGATTCAAGATATGGGTTTACAAGGAAGGGGAGCCACCAATATTTCACGGAGGACCAGCAGTCGATATCTATGGCATTGAAGGGCAATTCATTCATGAGATGGAGATTGGTAACAACCACTTCATTGCTCGCCATCCTGACGAGGCACACATGTTTTTAATCCCCATTAGCATCTCCAATATCATCTCCTTCGTGTACAGGCCTCTTGTCACCTTCTCCCGTGACGAGCTACAACGGGTGGCCGTCGATTATATTAGCGTTGTAGCTGACAAATACCCTTATTGGAATAGAAGCAATGGAGGCGACCATTTCTTCGTCTCTTGCCATGATTGGGTGAGTCAAATTCTTCCTTTAATGCAATAACTGAACCCATAAGTTAATGATAATAACTTGATTTTGAAATCTCAGGCACCAGAAATCTCAATAAAAAATCCTGAACTGTTCAAGAACTTCATTAGAGTACTATGTAATGCCAACAATTCTGAAAGTTTTCGACCTCAAAGAGATGTCTCTCTACCAGAAATCAAAATACCAAGAGGCAAGCTTGGCCCTCCTCTTGTAGGCCTTCCTCCAAGTAACCGTACAATTCTGGCATTCTTCGCTGGTGGCTGCCATGGCTACATCAGAAAGGTTATGTTAGAGTATTGGAAAGAAAAGGACAATGAGGTTCAAGTTCATGAGTATCTTGATGGGAAGAAAAATGATTACTTTAAACTGATGGGTTCAAGTAAGTTTTGTCTATGTCCAAGTGGGTATGAAGTAGCAAGTCCTAGAGTGGTAGCAGCAATTCAACTTGGATGTGTTCCTGTTATTATTTCTGAAAACTATTCACTACCATTTAGCGATGTTCTTGACTGGAGCAAATTTTCCGTGCATATTCCGGCCAAAAGGATACCGGAAATTAAAATAATTTTGAAAGAAATATCGGAAAGAAGATATCTAATGTTGCAAGAAAGAGTTATGCAAGTTAGGAGGCATTTTATGCTCAACAAGCCAATGAAGCCATATGATATGATGCATATGCTTCTCCACTCAATATGGTTAAGGCGACTTAATTTGAGACTTTCAAATTAATTGTTGATTACTTAGACTCTATTTGAACTTTGAATTAAAATTCATTTTTTTAATATTTATTCTGTGAGGTTATTTTTTATATTATATATTTTGCATAACAACTAAAATTTATTTTTAGGGTTTTCAGAAAATAAAAAGAAAGTGATGAAAAATATGTACATATTGTATTTTTTTTTTTAAATTAAATATTTAACCATTTGTCTGTAGGAGCTTATTTCAATATTGGCTGGGTAAAAACTTCATTCTATAAATATATAGACATTAAGCTATTGATTAGCAAACTTCCTCCTTGCTTTTCAAGTTAGACTCGTTTTAGTTTCTTGTCCTACTGGCTTAAGCTATTGGTTTTTTTTTTTTTTTTTTTCAACATATTTAAGATATAAGGTTTCTTTGAAAAAACTTTTTTTCAATCGATTAGGTGTATGGGCGAAAACCTTTTAATGTACTTTCTCGTCTTATTTTGTTTGCATGATTTAATAAATATGCATATTAAGAATTTAGTCAATAAAAGTTATTATGTCATTTTTTATTCTTAACCTATTAAGATATTAAAAAAAGTATTTCGTTTAATGAACAATCATAAAAATTATTATAGAAAAAATAATTATTTACATATCTAAATTTAGAAATCTAACAAGCAAACAAAATGAACAGATGGAGTATATTTTATTGATTGAATGAAAAAGAGAATTGATTAATTTTAGATTAGTTTTACTCTTTAGTAATTACTGCTGTTATTAGTTATTTTGTATGGTAAATTATTATTTAGTTCTTGGTATAAATAATTATTTTAGCCCCTATTTTTTAAAAATATATTGATGTGACCAAAATTAAAATATGTTATACTTCTTTTAAACTGCAAGGAAAAATTACAATTTTTAATAATATGAATAATTATTAAAACATAATCACTCATACCTAATTCTTGAGAAGTTAAAATTATTTTTATCAATTATTGTACATATATATACACACGCCGGCATTTTCATTTTTTTTATTGAAAACTAATGACAAAAATGTAAAAATTCAGAGAGTGATGAAATTGTTAATTCTTTCTATTTTACATCGCCTTCTTACAATGATGATGGTGAAGAGAATATGAAATACTTTTCTACTCTCCACGTACGAGACCACCATACACTAAACTATTTATATTAGCTTGGTGTATAAGAGTATTCTACAATTACAAATAGTGGTTTGATTTATGGGAGTATTATAAGTGTATAAATACTAAAAGTAGATTTGTCAGTATTACAATTATTTAATTTTGTATTTTAATTTTTTAAAATTCCAGCTAGCTTTTTTATTTATTTATTGCTCTTTTGATTTCATTTTTTTCTAGCGTTTATGTTTCCATTCCAACGGAAATATTACGGTTGAAATTTAATTTCTTATATTTTGTTAACAACTTTATTTGTTTATAATCATGGACTAATTAATTCTTGGGAGGATAGTTTTTTTTTAAATATAATTCATTAATAATATTATTAAGAATTACAAATACTTATATAGATCAAACATAAAACTTTATTATTAATAACTAATAGAGTTCGCTGATCTTTTAACAAATAAAAAAAATTCATATTCTTTTCAACAATAAAACTAAAATTTAAAAAATTATAATATTAGATCTTTCTGCTTGGATTTGATATTGATAAAAGATATAAATCTTTATAGCAGCTATTAGTCCGTTAATTGATTTGGACGGCAAAATAATAACTCTTCTGGATTTCTATACCTTGATTTTTTTTACAAGAATTTGCAACATGTGACGAACATATATGAGTTCACGCTATTATGCGTCAATAGCAGCAATGGAGGAATAGGCTGCACTACAGATTCCATTGATTGAAGATCTACACGTACAAATCAAATTCTAAAGTTTCCAACCAAATAAAATTAAATATCATATTATTTTAATTAACAATAAACATTCACAAAGAAGGAACAAAAAAAAAAAAAAAATATGGAAAAAAAAAAACTCCAAATATGGAGACAAATAATAATAACAAAACAAAAAAAGGACAGATCTATTGTATGAAAAACAGATCTAAGTTTATTAGAGTAAATAAAAGATTAAAAGCACAAGGAGGTGAAGCGAAAAGAAAAGTAGAAAGTAGGGGCTACTGTTGAGCGGCAGCCTTAAAACAGAACTAGAGTTAAAAGGCTAGAGAGAAAAGAGCAATGAACTACAAAAATTCAACTAGATCCCCAGCGGTAGCCTCAAAGCAGAACTGAAGTTAAAAGGCTAGAGAGAAAAGAGAGAAAAAAGCGATGAACTACAAAAATTCAACTTTTTAACTCTTGGTAGAATAGTTAAAACAGGTCTCCAGTTATCTATATTCATATAATAGGACATATTATAAATCCAAATCCTATATAGAATATTTTTCTCTTGTGTAATTATTGTATATTCACATTTTGGCTAAATTATTAAAAAAACTCTAAACTTTGCAGGTAGTTTTAATTGTACCATAAATCCAATTTTTTTTTTCTATTACCCTGAACTTCAACTTTAGTTATAATCACACCCTAATTTCAAATTATATGCAATATTAAAATAAAAAATAATATTTTATTCATTAAATTATCCCAATTTAATGAATAAAATATTATTTTCAAATTATTAAAATAGAAAAATAATATATTCATCTTAAAAACAAAATATTTTTTATTTGTATATATCATATTGACAACAAGTAATGATTTCCAAAAAATAAAATTATATCGTAATGAATAAAACCTATTTTTATAAGAAATTTAACTTATGTATAATTTCAATAAACCCTAACTAAAATTTCATACTTAAAAAATGAAAAAACAAAAACTTAAACTAATATTCTATGCTTATTAGTTAGGATGTGGAAAGGTGAGTTTTTGGTTAACTTGACTATATAGGTCCAACGAAAATAATATTTTATTCATTAAATTGAATGCACTTTGAAATTAGGGCGCTATTGTAATTAAAATTAAAGTTCAAAATACTAGGAGAAAAAAAGAGTTAAATTTAGGGTACAATTAAAACTATCCGCAAAGTTTGAAGTTTTTCTTAATGATTTAGCCTTGCATCTTAATATAGTTGATGATTTTAAAATTCCTATAATCACTACTTACAGTGTTTAATTTTTAGGATTTGGTTATTTTGGCTTCAAACTCCATAATTGATCATTCAGACTCTTTTATTTTCTTCAATTTCTCAAAAACATATTTAATCTATTGATGTGCAATGTGCTTGTAAGTTTCGAATTGTTTGGTGTGAGGAAACGGTGAAAATCTACAATTACAAACAATCAAAGGAAAAAATTTTCTTATATTAATAAACAACAGAGATCTGCTAAAAATTTTCTCTTCAGTTAAAAACTATAACAACCGAGGATTTTAATCTTATAACTTTTGGATTTAATTTAAATAAAAACACAAAGTATTTTACTATTATATTGCATTTATTTTTAGTCTGATTTAAATAATTAAATAAGTAAAAAAATTTTACTCTGTCACCGCCGAGGCCCAATATGCGAGACTGAGCCTTAAGCGAGCTAAGATGCTGAAATCGTACTATTGCAAGAGAAGATGACATCTCCTCGTAAGAAATGACCTTTATGGATGTTATAGAATCAAAAACTTATAGTGCGCATCTCCAATGGATGAAGATTTCAGTATAGGTACCACCACGCTGAACCATTATGTACAAGGCATATTAAAACTTTTCTATTCACATTTTATGCTAAGACTCTCTTGGAGAATCCATGGTTGGCCTATATTATGGTCTAGGTGCCACTTGGGCGCTAAAGGTTACAAAAAGCCTGACCCCTAGCATTATATTGCAATTATTTTTAGAATTAAAATATAGTTTTCAATTATTTTGTATGTTTAATTTAAATAATTAAATAAGTAAAAGAATTAATTCTAAAAGATAGATTTATTATTTTTAAGAAGTTTCTGAGACGGTTTTTGAAACTTCAATTTCAATTCCATTCCGGTTTAAAATTGAAATGAGGTAATTTTTTTAGGCTATTTATTTTTTTGTTTTGTAGCTTGAATAATTAATAACAATGAATAGTACTATTGAAAAATACAAAACATATATAATAAAAAGTTTAAAGTTTATTTTAAAATAAATTGAGAATTCCTTTGAAAATATTTTTTCATTCACGGTTTCAAATTGAAACCATCAATTTTAGACCAAAACAGTTGATTTCAGTTTAAAAAATAAAGAATAAGAACCAAATAAAAAATATTATGATTTAGAGTTGAAAACCGTGACCCTGATTTAATAGTGATTTTAATCGGTGCGATTTTAATTCAATTCCCTCGGAACCGAACCGTGCACAAGCCTAATTTGCCATCTATTCAGGGTTGAAACTATTCTTATGCGAATTAAACACAGTTTAGCAACCAAACACAGGCTAAAGATTTCTTTATTCGGTACGCATTCCAAGATAAGCAGGAAGTATGGAATGGATATGGATTCCACACAAGTCATTAGCAAGAAGGAAATAGTAATATGTAACTCTGTCTCTGTCGGAACCAAACAAATCCATTTGCACTAAGCTCATCTAACATGTTGAGGAAATTAGCGAGAAAAGCTGTTTCAGCCTCTTCAAATCAATGGAGAGCCAACCCAACTCAAATTCTCCAACAGAGAAGGCATTTCTGTATATCAGTCCTTCCTGATGGCGTCGACCGAAATTCTGATTCCTTTTCCCGCAACTCTAGAGCCATGGAAAGCCTTATAACCGAACTTCAATCCCATATAAGCAAGGTATTTTATATAATATGTGCATTAACCAACTATGTTTATCTGTTTATCTATTTGAGGATTGAAATGGGCTGGTTTTGATTTAAGGTTCTGGAAGGAGGAGGAGAGGCGGCAGTGAAAAGGAACAGAAGTAGGAACAAGCTTTTGCCCAGAGAAAGAATTGATAAGCTAATTGACCCCGGTTCTTCGTTCTTCGAACTCTCACAGGTGTTTTTTTTTTTTTTTTTTTTTTTTTTTAGCCTAATTGACCCCGGTTCTTTCGTGTCTTTCGAAACTCTTCACAGGTGTTTTTTTTTTTTTTGTTTTGTTTTTTTTAATTTGAAATCTCAAGGATTATACTCTGGGGGACTTGCTTAAATATGTATGAATATTTTGTAAAAAATGGTAGTACTATTAGAATTGGGATTTTTGAGATGATATTCCTGAGATTTTCAATTAACTAGTGCATTTATCTACATTTAAACTTGATAAATTTATTTGATTTGGATTAGTTTGAGATGGGTTTTCCATTTTGGGGAAGCCGTCTGTATTTTTTTTTTTTTTTTTTTTGTTTTTTATTGAAATCTCAAGGATTTATATTGGACTTGCTTAAATATGTATGAATAGTAAAAAATGGTAACTATTAGAATTGGGATTTTTGATGATATCTCCTGAGATTTTCAATTAACTAGTCATTTATCTACATTTAACTTGATAAATTTATTTGATTTGGATTAGTTGAGATGGGTTTTCCATTTTGGGAAGCCGTCTGTATTTCATTGCTTGTTTTTTATTTATGGGGAGGCTGTACTTTTTCACAACTTAAGGTAATGAAGGTTATTGAGATATTGGTCAGTTCATCAAATTTACATTGATTAAAGTTTTAACTTAGATGGATGATAATTTCAATTTTGTTTGTATTTGTAACTTCTGTAATCACAAATGACAAACCTATTTAATTGCTGACTTTTTCAGAGGCACTTAGCAATGATTTAGGATGGAATAGTGAGTTGATTGTCTCATTTTTCTCGTGGCAAGTCTATAGTTGTGATGTTTTGTTTGAGTGGTATGAAAAGTGTATCTTCTCGCTGCATTGTGCAAGACCTAGGGGCCTGTGCCTGTTAACTGTTTTTCTCTAGGTATGAGGATCGGCAAGCACAATTATTTCATTGAGACCACTGCACTTGATTTTGCATCAGATTGACTAGCTGAGGGGAAGATTATGTTTTTGTAGCTGGGCAATGGATAACGATGCAAATCTCTCTTTTGATTGAGTAGATCTATGTTTACGTCCTGCAACATAATTTATGATGCCTCTGCTTCTTATTGTATATTTAATGTATTAAGCTTGCAGGCCATAAACTGTATGAAGATGCCTTACCATCTGCCGGAATAATAACTGGAATAGGTCCTGTTCATGGGCGCCTTTGTATGTTTGTTGCAAATGACCCTACAGTTAAGGGAGGGACTTATTATCCCATTACAGTGAAGAAACATCTTAGGGCACAAGAGATTGCTGCTCAATGCAAATTACCATGCATATATCTTGTTGACAGTGGTGGTGCTTTTCTCCCAAAGCAGGCAGAGGTCTTTCCTGATAAGGATAATTTTGGTAGAATTTTTTACAATCAAGCTGTAATGTCAGCTGAAGGCATTCCTCAAATTGCACTTGTTTTGGGTTCCTGCACTGCTGGTGGTGCCTATATTCCTGCTATGGCTGATGAAAGTGTAATGGTCAAAGGCAATGCAACCATATTTCTAGCTGGACCACCACTTGTGAAGGTCAGTTTTGAATTGCTTGTTGCTGTAATTACTAGTGTTCATTTTTATTATTGTTATGCATTAGCCATGAAAAATATGTGAATGTGTCTGTGTACATCCTAACTAATGTTTTGTATGTGTCTGGGAGTTTGAATACCTTTATGCTATGTTTGGTAAGCCATAATGCAACAAATAGTGATTAAATTGCATGAATTTCTGTTCAATGTTACAAAGAAATTTTTGCTATGTAATCAACATTACAAGCATTATCGCTTGCCAAATATAGGATTTAGATTCTTAAAAATTAAAATTTAGATCTAAAGGAAGTTATCATAGGCTGCTACAGGAGAGGAAGTCTCTGCAGAAGATTTGGGTGGCGCTTCTTTGCATTGCAAGACATCTGGGGTATCAGACTATTTTGCTCAAGGTATTGATGGTCCTTTGGTTACTAGCTACTCTTATGCACTAGTTATAACTTTTAAGGTTGTGTATTCTTTGTGCTCTATGCTAAGACAAATCTTAATTTATTCTATCATGATGTACCAGTTTACGGAATGTTTTTGCTAATTTTAAGTGAAATTTGAATGTTGTATGTAATGCTATGTATATTTCTCTTTCTCTCTCCGTGGACAATGATACAAACCTATTCCTTTTTCTTGACTGACACATGCATGAATTTATCTTCTTGTAGATGAATTGCATGGACTTGCTCTAGGGAGGAACATCATCAAGAACTTGCACATGGCTGGAAAACAAGGGATGATGAATGGATTGCATAATCTAGGTCTTGATTATAAAGAACCATTATATGATGTAAAGGAACTTCGTTCTATTGCACCTGCAGATCTTAAGCAGGCTTTTGATATTCGCTCAGTTATTGCTCGAATTGTTGATGGTAGTGAATTTGACGAATTCAAGAAATTGTATGGAACTGTAAGGATATTTTTAATCATTTGAACTTCTAGTCTCGTGAATTTTCCTTAGATATCCATTTATGATTTGTTTCTGTTGTGTTTGCAGACTCTTGTGACAGGTTTTGCAAGAATATATGGGCAACCTGTTGGCATTATTGGAAACAATGGGATATTGTTTAATGAATCTGCTCTAAAGGGTGCCCATTTCATTGAACTATGTACTCAACGTAACATTCCTTTGCTCTTCCTTCAGAATATCACTGGTTTCATGGTATGTTAAGAAGTGTTAATCTCCAGTAATCTGTTACTGGAATTTTCTGATTTCATTTTATATGCTGTTATGATAAATTTTAGTGCTATTATTAGAAGGGAAACACTGAATTAATTAACATTATAGAGCTATAAGCACTTTCTTTCCAAATAGTTTGTTTAGCATGGGTGATCTTGGACAAGAGTGGGTGAATTCGTGTCTTGAATAATTACATGATAAAAATATACATAAAGGAAAGAAAAGATAATGCAGAAGAAAGAACAAAAGATCAAGTCATGGGCTCTGTAATTTGAGGGTTTTAGTGAATATTGAAGGCATGAATTTTTATATAATATTTAATTTACTTGAAATTTTGAATTGAGAATCAATGGACTCAAAAATTCGAATTAAACCGTGAGGTTTTAAACTATACCTTTCATTTCGGTCACTTCATTTTCTCTAACTGAAAAATTAAGAAACAGGGGGACCTAAGTATTTAGCATAAATCCAGTAAAGAAATTGAGCTTTGTTTGTTCTTCACAGTTGTACTATCAATGGATACGCAAAAGCATTGAATTTGACCTTTTCATGGTTTTGACATTTTTTGTTTCATCAAATGATTTTATGAAAAATTAAAATTAATGAAATCTTCAGGGATAGTTTTTGGGAAGTTCTTATATGAATGCTCTTCTAGATTAGCAAGCAGAGTAAAATAAGAACTATAGCTAGCATATGTTACATATGCAAAATGACTTATGAAAGTTATTTGTTGTTTGATTTTCTCGTGCATCATAGTGTTTTTTTTCAAATAATTTAATTCAACCTTTTTGGGCTGCCTTTTGGTTTCATCATATTTGCTTCTGTTTACTTAGAAAAATCATTTTTTTTTCTTAAGATATTAAACCCATGAATATCTTAAACGAATTTTGTTCTATGCTACTGCATGCAACAATGGCACAATTTCATTTGGCAGGTTGGTTCAAGGTCTGAGGCAAATGGTATAGCAAAATCTGGAGCCAAAATGGTAATGGCAGTTTCTTGTGCAAAGGTCAGTTTCTTTCCTCTTTTTTTTCAAATTTAATTTCAATTTGTCTTCAATTTTGAGTAATTGCATTGACAGTTGAGCGAGACAAACCCCAATACAATTGAGGCGATTTTATATTCTTTGTCATGATAACAATACGTGTAAAATAAAGAAGACATGGAAGAAAAATTTTAATATTACAATGTTTGTACAGGTTCCCAAGATAACTGTTATTGTTGGTGGAAGCTTTGGTGCTGGAAACTATGCAATGTGTGGTCGTGCATATAGTCCCAATTTCTTGTTTCTTTGGCCAAATGCTAGAATATCTGTGATGGGAGGTGCTCAGGTAGTTCGGCACTCCTTTTCATTGACCATTAGCAGTATTTTATGTTGGCTTTAGATGAACAATTAAATGCAAAATGAACAGTTTAAGTTTATGCAAGAATCTCATATGCAGCTTCACTCTGCATAAATTTTGGCCTTGCTATTCTTTTGTATAGAATTTATACATTTTAGATCAGCATCTGTCAATATTGGCCCAATGAATTGCTACACTGCAAGGATGGTGCCTGATTCTTTTTGTTTATCATCGACACAGTGAATAGTTTATTACTAAAGAAAAGGGTTTGAAAATGATTTGAGAAACTTTTATGGATTTTTCTTTTGTTCGTGTTCCTAGACTTCCTTGATGGCTATATCCTTCTGAACAGTTCTCAGATCCAATGTGTATAAAATGGATTGTAATTCTTGCACCTGAATGTATTGGTGGAGTGCTGATTTTCTTGTTTTAACTGGCAATATACAGGCTGCTGGTGTACTCTCTCAAATAGAAATGGCAAACAAGAAAAAGCAAGGAATTCAGGTGATTTCGCTTTCTCAAAACAAATTTTGAGTCCATATTCCAAATCTTGATAATGCTTATCGTATGTGTGTATGTATGCGTGTATGCATTGCAGTGGACAAAGGAAGAAGAGGAAAGATTCAAGTCAAAAGTCGTGGAGGCATATGAGAGAGAAGGGAATTCTTATTATTCCACGGCAAGGCTCTGGGATGATGGAATCATTGATCCTGCTGACACAAGGAAAGTCTTAGGTTTTTGCATCTCTGCTTCAAAGAAACATCCTGCAGAAGATACCAAATATGGTGTATTTAGAATGTAATTCAACTTCAAAACAAAATTACAAAGGGAAAATGTAATTTTTTCTTTTTCCGTTGAATAAAAGCATCGGTTGTAGCCAAATGCTTTCTGCTCATTGCTTCAAAATGTGTTCTTGAATTGTTGGCTTGTATTATAACACTCTACGAAGATTGCAGGAATTTTTGGCAAAAAAATTAGGGTTTCAGTGCAATGGATGCCCTCACTAGCAGCCGTTATACTATAACTAGCCTTTAAGGTGATGATAAATCATCTCTATTGAGCTGCAGCTGCAATAGGTCTCCGATAGCCTCTTCCCGTGGTGACTGCTAAATTGATATTAAGTGCAAACGAAGCTGATCACCTCCTGTATTCCAGTAAGAGGTCTGGTCTGGTATTCCTGAATACACTGTCAAAAGAAACTTTCTGCAACTTTGCTCTTTCAAAAACTTGCTACACCTGATGCTTGCAGAAAGGTTAACACTACCAAACATTAATGGAGGAATAGGCCAAACGACCTCCATTAATGGAAAACATTATCTGCGCTTAAAAATCTAAAATTTTCAACTAAAAGCAATCAATAATCTATGTCGTTTTTCAGACAGTCAAAAAACAAAAAGACAACAAATCATGGATGCAGCTAAAAACTCTTCAATGTGGAAGTATAACTCGATGAAAGAAGAGAAAAACCAATAAAATCCAACTAATTTCTTTTATTTCTTAAACATTATAAGTACATTGATTCTAACTATTCTATTTAATCTCATTAAGTTCCTACAATTATTTAATATTTTTCAGTTATTAAGTCGAGCTGTTAAATTCCTATAATAAACAAATTAAATTTAAATTTGGTTCATTAGCTTGTGAGTCAACTCATGAGTTAGCATTAACGACTTAGCTCAAAATCGACACGGAAACTAATTTAATGAATTAAGATTAATTAAATTTACGTTAAGATAAAGTAATTTTGATTTGATTAATGGTCTAATACATTTCACATTTAACTCATTTACAGCTATCAAGTGGGATGTGAACTAAGCTGGAGTTTAGCTATTTAGCAATGATTTATGTTTATGTTTCGGTATTAGTTAAAAATGTAAAAATTTTTACTTTGTAAGATTATAAAAATATTTAGCATGTTAGAAATTTTATATTTGTAAAAATTTATATTAAATATTAAAAAAAATTATAAAAGTTGTAAAGATATTTAGGATGTTAGAAATTTTATATTTTAAAGTATGTTATTAAACCAGAGAAAAAAAATGATAAATTATAATAGGTGATTTTTTTTTTTAGTATTGGGGGAAGAAAATTCAAACCTGAACCTATTGACAGATCGTATATTCAGTCATCACTAGGCTATGTTATAGTGTCTAATATAGTTGACTGATAATGTTGTCAATGACTAATATTGATTAGTGGTAATTAGCCATGATGACAATCGGAGATCAATAAATTTCTACTCATAAGTTCGCATTTAGAAAATATTTATTTTAAAAAGGAAAAATCATTTACCTTTTATTTAGGAAAATGATTTTTATTGATTGATTTTTTGAATACCTCAAAAATTAAAAATACGAAATATATATTATATTTAAGGGTAATGTTATTTTTTATGTCTGAACTTTTTTTTATTTTGGTATTTGAACAAAAAATAATGATAATTGAATATTTAGAATTTCAATTATTTTTAATTTAGTGTTTTTTTGATGAAATGAATAGTTAGATTATACAATCGGATGAAGTGGAATCCACTTTTATATACGTGTCTGCTTACATGGCTAACAATTAATTCGGGTAAACAGTATAACGCGGCAAATATAGTTAATCAAACAACACCCCCCCCCCCCCCCCATTATACAATGCGGATGAGTGGAATCCACTATTTTATACGTGTCCTGCTTACATGGCAACAATTAATCTCGGGTAAACATATAACGCGGCAAATATATTAATCAACAACACCCCCCCCCCCCAAAAAAAAAAAAAAAATCCCTAACCTAGACCTAAAATAAACATGTTTCCCAAAATAAAAAAAAAAAAAAAAAAAAAATCCCTAACCTAACTTAAAAAACAAATGTTTCCAAAATAAAAAACAGTTAGTTTTCAGAAGAAAATCTACCTATGCACCGATCGTTCTCCAATGATATCGCCATGGAAGGCAGTAACAACATTAGGACTTGCAGTTGCGACTCCCTGAACTCCTCCTCCACTTGACAGTTTGATAACTGGACGAGTTACTGTAACTCGCTTTGTTGACCATCTTCTCTTTCTTCTTCGTCTTCTTCCTCTTTTATTTGCCTACTCGAAAACTCTAAACCCATTGTTCTAATGTCCAGATCCAGAAAATAAAGTGCTGATTCTGGTCTCTGCTTCGCTTTCAACCATTGCCCACTCGATGCTTTCAACTTCAAGCAACCGGAACATGAATAGTTTCCACTCTTGAACCTTTGCTTCTGCTGAAAAACCTGCTTGACCTCCGGTTATGTCTTTCGCAATGTCAAACGATTGCAGAATCTCGACAGCTGGTGCATCTATTTTAGTCTCTTCCTTTACCGTTTATTTTTATTTCTATCCCGGTTAGATCATGGGATGACTCCTCGAATCCTTTGTTTTCTTTCATCTCTCTGACGATGGGCTTTTGCCAATCAATTTTTTATGATTTTATCAAATGAAGGCTCGGATTCCTGAAAGACGGGCAAACTGATTTGCTGAAGGCAAAAGGTTGCTTCAAGCAACTTTCTCAATTCTCGATTAAAATGGTAAATTAACCATATTTGGCATGTTGAATTGCTAGATATGTAGGTAAAAGTGGGCCCATTTCATTTTATTGTATGATCCGACCGTCTACTTCATCAGACTAAATTGAAAATAATTGTAAGTTCAGATAGTTAATTGTCACTGTTCAGACATCAAATAGTTAAAAAAAAAAAAAGCGCAAGTTCGGCATAAAAAATAACATTATTCCACAGTTAATAATAGTAGATACTAATATAAAATCAACAAAGCGCTCGTGGCCTAATGGATAAGGCATTTGACTTCTAATCAAAGGATTGTGGGTTCGAGTCCCACCGAGCGTGTGTTTTTTGTACTATTTATTGATTTCATTTATTCTTCACTAAACGGACACCTAATTTCTTTTCCCTGTATATATTCTTTTTACGCTTTATCTATCTATAGTCTATATTATAACATATCAATTGATTTAAAAAACTAATTATTATCCTACTATTTTAGCATATTATCCTAATTAATGAGATTAATAATTTTTAATAATTGATTAATCATTTTAATACTACTATTTTAGCATATTAGTCTAATTGATTTTTTAAATTATTAATTGAGATGTTAATTAATTCAAAAAAAGAAAGCAAGAGCTAATGTGGAAATTTATTATTTATATAATACTTTTTCCTCAGTATCTTAATAGCTTTAAATGCTATGATATATGGAAAAAAAATATATATATATAGGATGCGCTATATTTTTTTTGCTTTATTCTATAAAGAGCTTGGAGCTTGATCCGTATTTAAAAAAACGGAGCCTGGAGCTTGGAACTGCAATCCATTTTATTTACACATTCTGTGAAAAAAAAAAACTTGGAGCTTGGAGCTTGGAGCTTGGAGCTTGATCCATCTTATGCACTATATTTAATGTTTCTGTTCTTCCTCATTTATTCGTTGAAAAAACACAATTTGCTACCAAATGCGTTGCTTGCAATTTTTGTAATTAGTGATCCTTAGATCTAACTGATAATGATATGGATAAAAGAAAATGACTATTCAAAATACCGTGGTCCTAGAAATACAGTGTATTTATCTAATATTATGAGATGTTGTATATGTTTTAATTTTGATGTAACTTTTATTTTTTTTTTCATTAATTAGCTATTATATTCATGTTGATCTCAATTAAAAATTTAAAAAGATGAAAATAATCAATATTTAATATTATATGAAAAATAAATAATAAAATATAAAACAAGTAATGACAATGCGCAATGCACGTCATAAAAAAACTAATTTATTTAAAAGTCATTTTGATACATTCAATTTATAATTGAACCTCGATATTTTTATTGGTTCAAATCATCAAAATTATAAAATTGACTACTAATCAACGTTCAAATACTACTTTTTCCTGTTTTAGAAAATTGTATTTATTTTCATTTGGTAAATAATATTCGATAACAAAAAAAAAAGAAAAAAGTTACTTAAAGTGTAGGGTCATGATTAAACCCACGTAAAATCTAAGTGGCCACATGATTAAATTTATGCATTTGGCCAAAGTTTTAGGAACATGTATATATAAATATACTTAATCATGTAATATTTTAATTAATCATAATTTAATTATTAACATCAAGTAATTACTTTATTAATTAATTAATGATTAATAAATTCATTTTATACATACTAAATTTTTACAATTTCAATTGCAATGAACATTAATCTAATTTTTACTATAAATTTATTAATTAAATCTACATATTAAGACTTTACTGTTAACTAATCTTAATAATTTTAATTGTAACTAGTAATATTAAGTAATATACCATCAAATTGACATATCAATTTATCAATTTATATTCACACAATAGTACAAAAAAATAATGTAAAAAATTTCAAATGTTTCATTATCTACATATATTTAGTTCAAAAAAATATAAATTTTAAAAAGTAAAAATTTTCAATGGCCTAATTAATTAATTATATAAATATAAATTTAAGTAAAAAGTTTCAATGGCCTAATTAATTAATTATATATCATATATATATATATATATAATATATTATATATATATATATATATATATATATATATAATATATTACTATATATATTACAATCAAATATTAAAAATAAGTACCACGGATAGCACATCTTAAATTGATGTGTTGAGTGTGGATAGCACATCTTAAATTCTTTGATGTAAGTGCAGTCTCTATTGCTATCCATTAAATTAAATTAATCTCGAGGTGTTCTTCACAACTGTTGAAAAGATACCAATTGCTGAAATATGTGAATCTGATAGCGCAGGAGCTTTAGCCGAGCGACTGATCCTTATACCTCCTTGCGTAACAACTTTGGATCCTCCAGCTGCAGCCTTGTTGACCTAGGTCAATAACTTTACAATACCCAAGGTCAGCAAGGCAGAGAGAAGGAGAAAGAGTAATTCATTTCAAAAACCCTCACCTTTGCGTTTGCTTTCAATTGCATCCCTTTTTGAACTTCATCCTTTGAACACCCCAATTTTAAAGGTCAATATTATTTGAACTCCAATTAGAAATCAGGGGCTAAAAAAATAATAAACAACTTAACTATGGGACCCAAAGACTGACACAAGGATTAAACTAACAAACCTATTAACCCATCCAAAAAATGACGTCGTTTTAATTTTAAAAAAAGAAAACCCTAGAACTCAAACAAACCTTAGCAATCATCGCCTCCTACGTCGTTTCAATGAAGACCTTATGAAAAAACAGAGCATCAGCCAAAAGCCTCTCCTTGAAACGACCAAAATAAAGCAACCGTCGGAATATCCCTGACTTCTCAAAGTCTAAAAATCTGAAAACCACCGCACCAGGAATTCTACTGGCCTAGATCGCAGTCAATAAGTCTTTGGGCAAACTCTAAAGACTGGTTTGCCTCTGCCGCCATCTCCACCGAAATGCTTGTAGTTGTTGAAGCCGTCATCTCCACTTGAGAAAGAAGCAAAAGGGATAAAGAGGGGAAGAAGGTTATTGTATTGGTGGCGAAGAGAGAGTGTGGACGAGGAAGAAACAAACATACGGAGGAGAAGGTGGGGTGATGAGGAGGAGGAAAGGAATGGATGGTGGAGATTGAGTTGGGGTTGGAGTTGGGAATGGAGGCGGCGAAGAAGCATGTGGCGATGGTTGCTAAGGTTTTTTAAGTTTTAGGTTTTTTTTTTTTTTTTTTTTTTTTTTTTTTTTTTTTTTTTTTTTTTTTTTTTTTTTTTTTTTTTTAAAGTTGAAATAGCATTGTTTCTTGGCTGGGTGAATGGGTTAGCTAGTTTAACCTTTGTGTCGGTCTCTAGGTCCATAGTTAAGTTGTTTATTATTTTTTTAGCTCCTAATTTCTAACTGAGGTTCATATAATACTAACCTTTGAAATTGGGGTGTCGAAGGATATTAAGGTCAAAATGAGGTACAATTGAAAGCAAGTGCAAATGTTAGGATTTTTTAAATGGATTACTCAAGGAGAAATGTATCCTTAGAAGGAGGTACTAGAGATAGGCAAATTGGAGAAGGAATGGAATATGTGATTTCATTTTGATGTACGGACAGCCAAGACCGAAGAGTCAAAACATAAAAAACACATAACCATCTAATTAAAACATAGAAAATAAAGAAAAAAAAAAATCAAACTTCCTAAAAAAAGTTCAAATAAAATAACGAAAAAATAGTGTCAACTCATATAAAACTCCATGTAACCAGTTAGCATAAAAATTTACTTCAAGAAAAAAAGAGAGAGAGAGATATATAAGCAATGTCCAATCAAGATGAAATAATTATACCAAAAAAAAAAAAAAAAAAAAAAAAAAAAAAAAAGCCAAAGCACGAACTAAAAAAAAAAAAAAAAAAAAGCCAAAGCACGAACTAATATAAGAGGCAAAACCTCAGATTTGATTAATTGCAGGGTCAGGAGATTATCAAAATCTTTTAAGTAAAACATATCGTGAATAAACACTTAATTGTAAATTATTTAGTAATTTAAGCATCTCAATCTCATTATTCTATTTAAATAATAAAATAGCAAAAATTAAATAGGCAAGACATCAGTTTACGAGAATAGCCTTTTCTTGAGATAACCAAAAAAAAAAATATATATATATATTGAAATGAGACCGTGAAAGTATTCTTCTTAATGCTTGTACAATGTGAAACTATACAGCTTAAAAAAAGGATAAATATTTATTTCGTGTTTTATTAAATTAATAAACTCGTCTCTTTAATTTGATAATATTATTTAATGATTCTCTATGTTTAATTCTGTCAGATTATTTAATCTTTTCGTTTATTTTTCAGATTTTGCAATAAAAACGTGTAAAAAAAAATAATAATAAGAGAGGGGTGCGAAAATTAATCTAAAATGACAGTAATTGCCGTTTAACTAAGCAACCTTTCTTCCTTACACCAAACACTCCAAGAGGTTGGTTGAGAATGTAAGAAAGTTGTAAAATTATCAGATAAAAACCTAGCTCCAGTTCAACAAACATTATCAATACTGCCTTAAAATTTTTTTTTTTTAGAAAAAGGAAAGATAATGACTAACTTATCGGAAAAGAAAGGCATACGTATTGGAGAGGAGTTAAGAGAATCCCTGAGAAAGGAAAGAAGCAGAGTGAGCGACAAGAAGAGAATTAGGAGGGAAGAGAATCGCACGGTGGAGCGAGTTATTGGTAGGAAGTTGAGACCAGTCGTCATCACCTGAGTTGGTTGCTTTTGTGGTTGCGGGCATAGTTGTTGAGGCAGTGGCGGTGGCAGAGGCAATTGCTAAAGAAGAGGCGAAAGTAGAGTCGTCTGTGGGGAGAGCAACAGAAAGAAGTGCAGCGAGTTGGTGTTGTTGATGGTGGAAAATGCAGTAATTACCATACTAAGCTACAGACCGACGATTTCATAAACGAAAAGAACGGAAATATAATTTTAAGACTTGATCTCGTGTATATGGTCAAATATTTCATTTTCACGCTTTGAAACTTGGGAGTTAGTTAATATCTATTTGTAGCTAATGTTTTGATTGGAATGTATAGGTATTTTGGTGAATTGTAGTTGGCACACCAGATGTTCGATCAAATAGCTGATAGAGACTTACTTTCTTGGAACTATTTAAAACATTATCGTTGAACAGTTAAGGAGAAAGTGATAGAGATGGAGAGAAAGGGGGTGGTTTGATTATTTTGGAGGAAGAGATAGAGATGGAGAAAGAGAGTTGTTTTCTCTTTTGAGTGTTGTCCTCTAGTTGTTTGCTATTTATAGTGTGTTCAATAAGACTGGAGGAAGAGATATATAAGTTTATTTTAGTATTTTTATTACTCAAGATTAGGGTATTTTTGTATTTTCATTATTTTTAACGGCAAATTTCAATAAATTTTGACAGAAGAATAAAGTAGTCGAAAGAGTTAAATTTCAAGAATTATTAATTAATATTAACAAATTATAGTTAATTTGGTAAAAAAAAAAAAAAAAAAAAGGAAAAAAAAAAAAAAAAAAGGAATGATGTAAAAAAAAAAAAAAAAAAAAAAGGAATGATGTAATTATTTCCCTCCTAACAAGTGGAAGTTAAAGTCGTTATGATGAAGCTCAAGGGTGTTCTAGTAAACTCTGCTCTACAATACAATCATAATAAACGTGCTCCCCTTTCTGTTTCCTTGTGCTCTCTCTCTCTCTCTCTCTCTCTCTCTCTCTATACAGCATTTCTCTTTCTCCTCACTAAACCCTCACTCTCCAATGGCTTCTTCTTCTACAGCACTTTGTTCTCCTCATCCTCTCTCTTCTCCACGCGCCGCCTCACACGCCTTCCGTCACTCTACTGTTCTCCCATTCCTCTCCAGCTTCCACTTCAAAAAACGCTCAAATCTGACTGTCAACCACGAGCCGCCTCCTTCTCCTTGCAAGGTTCTCTGCTCTCGCAATCCTCGGGGTAAAAGAACAAACAAAAACCCTAAAATCTTTGATTTTTCATTCTTTTATTTGTTAATTTGTTGAATTATATTGTTTGATTGTATATTGTGCATACTACAGGAAAGAAAAAATCAGCGAAATCTGATCCAATTTATCATAATCGATTAGTTAATTTATTCGTTAATCGAATACTCAAAAACGGAAAGAAATCATTGGCGTTTTATATTATGTATAGAGCATTGAAAATGATTCAGATGAAGACCAAATCCAATCCATTGATTATTTTGCGTCAAGCGACACTTAAAGTAACACCTGATGTAGCTGTAAAAGCAACTCGTGTTGGTGGATCGACCTATCAAGTTCCGATTGAGTTAGGGTCGTTGCAAGCCAGAGCAATTGCCATTCGGTGGTTGTTGGAGGCTGCGCGTGAACGTCATGGCCCAGATATGGCTTTCAAATTATGTTGTGAGTTGATGGAAGCAGCGGCAGGGAATGGAAATGCATTTAGAAAAAAGGAAACGACTCACAAAATGGCAGAATCGAATAGAGCTTTTGTGCATTTTCGTCAGTTCATGTAGTATGGAGAGGAGAAGGAATTAGAAATTAGTAGTCAAAGTTTTGGGAAGGGTTATAGTTGAATGGTTATATAATATAGATACATGGTCTTTTTGATTGTAGTGTTCTTATGTTTATTTTTCTAACATTAATTTTAACAATTTGTTAGCCTTTTGGTGTTGCTTGAAGATTGAGTGTCTTTTAATGGAGAATTTTGATTTGTTTGTTTGTTGTTCTAGTTTGTAAACTAGCTTTATGTGAAATGATTGGCCTATATTTTTTTTATACTCCTGGTTTGGCTTATATAGTTTGTAAAATGATAGAATTTCATTGAATTGTATAAAGTTGAATTCATATAGAGCAGTATGGAAACAAAGGATTCATAAATTGCTGACTCTAACTAGTTTAGGATTAATGCATAGCTGTTGTTTTTGCTGTATATGAAGTTGAAATTGTGGGAGTAAAATGAATATTGTCATTCACTACAAACTTTAAAAGATGAAATTCCAAATGAATTCACAGAATTTTATGACATTCATTTATACCAAATAAGGTCTTAGTCTTTCATATTATATGGGCATGCACTTTGCTGCTTTACACCTCTTTTTTATTTGGTTATGTAGAAAATTATTTATCAGACTGTTCTGCCTGTCGATTGATTTCTGCCATCCATGGAGTGATCTTCACTTTATATTTGTTTCATGATAGTTGCTTTACCTGTTATTTATACTGTATAATCAATCTAGCTGTCAAAATGCAATAATCAGACATTTCACAATGGAATGGATTTAACTGCTTTTATTCAATGTCTTTGGTTGAATAAGAAAAAACAATATATTTATTCAAATACTCGGTGACCATATTGCTTTGTTCTTCATATCTTTTTTTTTTTTTTTTTTTTATTGCTTTTTGTTCTTCATATCTGTTTTTTTTTTTTTTTTTTTTAATTCAAATGTTTTTTTTTTTTTTTTTTTTAATTCAAATGACTGTGAAGGAAAAGATTATTTCATGATAATTATTGGTGAATTGAGATATTTTCCACTTCTTTGGTGTTGGTTTAATTTCTGCTTAGACTGAGGATTTCTGAACTCAAGATTTTGTGTGCTGATGCTGGCAAAGCATAGAGATTTTATCTCTGATGACCTTCCTAACAGGATCTTTTGGGTAATTATAGCTGCAGAGGTCTCTAAGGACTCATGGGAGAAATTGATTCTGAAAAGTGATATCCCAGTCCTAGTTGAATTCTATGCCAGTTGGTGCGGTCCCTGCAGGATGGTTCACCGAGTGATTGATGAAATTGCCGGAGAATATGATGGGAAACTAAAGTGTTTTGTGCTCAACACAGACATTGACTTGCAAATTGCTGAGAAGTATGAAATTAAAGCTGTGCCAGTGGTTCTGCTTTTCAAGAATGGAGAGAAGCAAGAATCGGTGGTTGGTACAATGCCAAAGGAATACTATGTTGCTGCAATTGAGAGAGTTCTCCGCATGTGAACATGTTTTGACGCCTGATTTGGACGTTTTGGTAACTTGGATTGGCTTTATATCAGGTATCAAAAGATTTTGCTGTTGAATTTTCATTTGGTTACAAACAAGTACACGATGTACAGTGTTTACAAATGTAAACTTACTGGCTATCACCATAGATTCGGGGGACTCTCTTTTTCATGTCGAGAATCTGCTGCAAGACTTGTATACTGTAAATATGCTGACGATCTTTCATCAGTTCATCAGTCGTACAAATTTAGTAGAAACATGAAGCTATTGCTTTATCTTAAGATTAACAATTGTGCATTTAAGCTATTTTTGGGTTTTAGAACCATTTCTGGATATAGATTTTTTAAACGCTTCTTTGGTGTTCTTTTGTCCCCAGGCGCTCAGGCACATATATGGACACACATGTATTATGTTCTCTATTTGCTCCTGATGCTGTAAACCCATATAAATATTGGTTAACAATTGAAGAAACTCTCAGGATTCTGAGAAATGAAACCGATTGCAACATCAGCAAATAGGTGAGCTATTTGTTCGAATAAAATTAATTGTTAAAGCGTGCGGTTTGTTTAATCCAGTGGTTAATTGCATATCATAATGTGTAGACTAGGTTCCCAGACCAGGTTTGATAATAAAAATTATAGTTTAATTGTAGCCATATAAAAAACCTTTTGGACTTGGTGTTTTATCAACTGTATATTTTTTTCGTTGTGATATCAAGATAAGAGATCTTTCCATTTTCAAAATTTATAAAATTGACTTCAGGATTTTTATTGTTATATAAATTAATATTCGACGTATTTTTTATTACAAATTAAAATAAAAAAACTTAATTATCTTAACATGTTCCAATAATAAATTTAGAGATGGTAAGTGAAATTAGCTAAATTCTGTTGGGAGTTTCAACCCAAAACTAAGGGAGAATAAATTCAAAGGCGGAGATGTATGGAAGAGGGAGATGTGTCGAGGGAAAATTATAATTTTGTCCCTCTAGTTTCTCACAAATTACTAGTTTGTTATTGCATCTTCTAAAAGTACACTACAGTATCTCTATAGTTTGCACCTTTCCCCGTCAGGTGAAAGAGAATGAAATTTTTTTTCAAAAATGCCCTTCCAGCTTTCTTTCCATATATTAGAGAGCAATGACCCAAAAGTGACCAATTTGCCTTTCAAAATTGAGAAAGCCAACATGCAATCACCATGAATCTTCAACGAAATTTAGTTTTCATTTTGTTTTTCCTTTATGTTCAAACTAGGCGGTCCTTTATGTTCAAACTAGGCGGCTATGTAATATATTTTTTTTATATGTAAAATACATGTATTAAATAATTTGTTTAAAATTAAAGTGCAATCCACGTTATGATTCAGACGTGTGGTTTGAAATTATAAATTTTTATTTTAACTAATGAGTGAATAAATTTCAAAAAAAAAAAAAAAAAGACGTGTGGTTTTGAAATTATAAATTTTTATTTTAAACTAATGAGTGAATAAATCTTCAAAAAAAAAAAAAAAAAAGAAATTACTAATCCAGCATTTAAAAAAAAAAAAAAAAAAGAATACTAATCCAGCATTTATATGTGGAATTGAAATAGAGAAAGCATATTATTGTATAAATACAAAATTCTAATGGAAAAATTAGTGACAATTTGTATTTGGTTGGAGTAATAACTTGAAGCATATAAATTCATACATAAATATATCGAGACTATTACTTTATTTATTGCAATTCCTATCCGATATATTTTTTGGTAATACATTTTTTATCCATATTTATATTTATTTGTTTTGATTTGTAGAATAAGTACAAAAAATATAATAAGTGTTTATACTTAAAGAATTAATCAATGTTTGAGAACAACCATATAGACGGTCATCAAATAGCTAAAAACGAAAGTCAAGAAACTCATTTGAATTACCTAAATTTCTAATTTGAAGCCTCTAATGAATTGACTAACAATGCTTAACAATTTCTCGGCCAATTGATATATGCTATTGAAACTAAATACTTAAATTATAGAGAGTTTCATTATCCAAAGAGAGCTACGTAAAAACCTATAAAAATCATAAATTAGAGAGAGAGGCAAGGGAGACGCGTTTTCTCTCCAAAGTCTTCAAATTTTCATATTTAAGTTAAAACTAAATACTTAAATTACAGAGTGTTTCACCATCCAAAGAGAGTGCTACATCATCATCCATAATTCTCTTTTATAATAATAATAACTAGGCGGCTGCATAATATTTCATGATTTAAATTTAAACATTATCGTGTAGAATTAAAGAATTTTATGCTAAATAAAGTGAAACATGATTTTTTAAAATAACATGTGAAGGAAAATAAGAAGACAAAAAAGCTTATTCAAATTAAGATGGCTATGTCATCATTTTGTTAGATTAAGGCACATGCAAATAATGAAATTAGTTGTAAATATTTATTTTTGGTCAATTTCTATCTTTGTTGATCCAAAATCCATATAACTAATATATTTTTTCACCTGCAATATCAATATAGAACAAACTTAATGTTAAATTTTATATCAAAAATAATTTGGTACAGCGAAAAAATGACATTAACTACAAGTATTTATGATTAATTTTTGCCTTTACTAATCCAAAATCCATATAACTAATAACCTTTTTCACCTGCAATATTAATATATAACAAACTTAATGTTAAAATAATATGTTTATATTTGTCTTTTATAAATCTGAAACACATTGATATACAAATCGTCATCGATTTAATTAAACAAGTTTTTAAAAAGTAAAAATTTAAAAGACATTATCATAAATCATCATTAATTAATTCCATTAAAAAAATAAAAATATTTTACAACTCATAAAATTTAATTGGAAGAGCCAAATTTTTCCTGGCCTACTAAAAATCAACAAATTCTATGAACTCTCCTTTTGATAGAGATGCCACATAAATACACATGATAATAGCTATTATTCTCCTTTATATATATATATAATGATTTGAATTCTTTAGCCAAAGCTTCAGGAGAATCATCTATCCTCTTGGTATTAATGAATTAATCGTAAATAAATTTTTATTTGATTTTTTAAGGCACACAAAGGATTGGTGAACCCAAGAAAAGAAACTACACAATGTATCTACTGGCAGATCAACCCCAATAAAAATCACCAACAAGTACAATCACAAAATCGAGCGCAAAAGAAAGGAAAGTCTCAAGGAATCACGGTATATTTTATAGGAAAATTGTTAACAGCTCGACTCGCACGTGCGACAATCGTGTAATGTAAGTATAGTCCTGTATGGGGACCCACAAACAAGTCAATCAATAAGTGTACATGGGAAGGGAATTGTATAGGGGAAGAGTTAATTATGTAATTTTGAAGATGAAAAAAGAGAAAAAGATAGGGAAAAGTTAATGATGTACGTGAAACCCACAAGAATCTTTTTGTTTTATGAAATGAGGGTTAAAACCCTGGACGGAATAACAAAGAAGGCTTCATTGACCTCGACCCAAGCCCTCCATCCAAGCCATTCTAGGGTTAGTCTTCAAGCTTATCCTCTTCTACCTTCCATCTATAATCAGAGATAGCAATGGGTTGGAAATGCATTGCTTGAATCCAAATTTAATTATAAATTAATTAAATGTACAAAAAAAATGCTAATTTGCGACCGACAAATTGGTCGCAAATTGCAAGAAATCGGTCGCAGATTGCAAGAAATCGGTCGCAGAATACAATCAGCGACCGAAGCATCGGTCGCAAAAGAGCTCGTCGCAAAATTTTTTGCGACCGATTAACTAATCGGTCGCAACTTT